GTGGTTACCCAGTCATGATGGAATCATTGGTACCACAATGGCCAATGCTGCTGCAGAAGCAGCACTCAACAAATTTGTGACGTCACTTCTGATCCCATACACTGAGTATAAACCCGTGATAAGATCATACATCCGAGATCTAGTGCAAACGAAGTTGGACACCCAGGTAGGTATAAATAAATTACATGAAATATCGGTTACTTTCTTTCATAATGTCTCAGCAAATGTTCTAATCACTGGTAAAACAATGGCTGATGCTGCAGCTAAAGCAGCACTTAACAAATCTGTGACATCACTTCTGATCCCATACACTGATTATAAACCCGTGATAAGATCTTACATCCGAGATCTAATGCAAAAGTGGGACATCCAACTAGTTATCAATATAAATTCCATGAAATTAAAATATCGGTTACACCTACTTGGGTTATCAGTCCAGATTTGAAGAGGTCATTATACGACGATGTCGAATTGGCAATTCAAGAAATACACACGAGTATTTATTACAAGGTGAAGATCATCCGTTCTGTATCCCCTGTGGTGAAAGAATCACAGCCAAGCATGTTTTGCTTGACTGTATTGATTTTGCCATCGTAAGGAATACCCATTTCAAAGTTTCATCTATAAAGGATCTTTTTAATATCAGTTCTCATTTAGTAATTGTTGGTTTTTTTAAATTGAATTGTTCCATAAATTTTGATTAATATGTTGTGTATATAATATAGTTTTTTATAATTGGCAGAATTAATGTGATTACTTAGATTGTTGGTGGCTGTATCATCGAAGGGGGTTGAAGTAGTGTAAAATGATTGTCCCATGGAGAGGGTATGTAAGACCACGTCATTCAAAGTAGATTTATTCTTACCATATCCTTTAATCGTAGAATATATGTTGTTTTAATAAGGTTAAATGTGTCAATATTCCCCAACACCTGAAGGGATGATGTAAATCCTGCTGATATAAGATCAGACCATTTCCATGGGCTGAGTGGTCTGAATGTTGACCAATGGTGCGCGCTCAGTCTGATTAGGAGCTTTCCGAAGAATGCACCTCTGGCAGCTACGAATGTGGTTCTCGGAATCTCATATCATTCCTGGCCAATAAAACCTCGTCCGAAGAAGAGCCACAGTCCTGTCCCTTCCCAGTCGCGCCATCCCGTCATGAAGATGAGTAATGACGGATTCCCGTTGCTGCTGTTGAACAATGAGGTGAAAGTAGGGATCATTACCTTCTGTAGTGGGGGCACGGGTGGCCCAGTCGTCTAAGGCGCCGCGATTCGCCAGAAACCTATGATTGTAGGTTCGAATCCCGGTTCGCCACGATTATGTTTCTAGGTTTGTCAGCACCATACCCGTGCTCGTGGGTTTCACCGAAGTGGTAAACGTCTGAGACCTGCATCACTTCGGGCTTTCCTCCCATATTAAGCTGACACGCCGTGATATAACTGTAATACTGTTTAAAGCGGCGTTAAACCCACCTCACTCACTCACCTTCTGTAGTCTGTTTCCTGTAAAGGAGATTGTAAATGATGGAGAGGGCATCCCACTGCCTGAGGATTTGAAGCTGTGTCCCGATCAAATGACCTAAGAGAATCGTTTAAAGGGCTCTGATCTTTGCGGAGAAGGTCCACAATCGATCAGATTGAGGGGTCCGCCTGCTGAGAAGAAAGCATCCGCTGATCAGTCCCAACATTGGTAGACTCGAAATCATCAACCGCTAAACCGCACAGTTCAATACCTCGTGACAAAGTGAGGGCGTCTCTACAACACTAGATGACTGTTGAACAGAGACCGCAGACACAGACTGGATATGCATGCTCTCACGCGGCAACCTGGACAACGCATCAGCATCCCTGTTCCTTGCTGCTTCCGACGTGTCTATAGAGTACGTACCAACGCGCCCAACGCGGCGGCTAGCTCAATCGGTAGAGCACGAGACTCTTGATTTCGGGGTCGTGGGTTTGAGCCTCAAGTTGGGTGCCAAATTTGTAGTAGGGGTGCTGTATTCGGTTCGGGTCAGGCCGTTTGAGATTAAAGACACACACAGACGATGAATATGATTTTATTATATGATGGGGGTGGCTGCTGCTGAGGAAATAACCCGAAGCAAAGAACAAAACCTTCCTCCTCAACAGCAGCACATGGAGTACAAAGCCATTTAACAACCATAATAAAAACTAATGTAATTTAACATTAAAGTTATATAATACTTAAAAAAGCACATGGGCCAAAATGGACAATGTTGTTAATTATTTTACAAATTAGTTTTATATTAATATTTCATTTACTAATTTAATATTACTTTAAAATATATTATATATTTATTATTCAGCACCCTCATATAGAGTGAGTGAGTATGGTTTTACGCCGCTTTTAGCAATATTCCAGCAATATCACGGCGGGGGACACCAGAAAAGGGCTTCACACATTGTACCCAAGTCGGAAATCGAACCCGGGTCTTCGGCATGACGATCTAACGTTTTAACCACTAGGCTACCCGACCACCCCTACCCTCATGTACAAATTAAATAGACAGAAGCAGATGAAAACAGATTGAAAAGTGGCCATTCCATACCTGTAGAAAAGACCATATCCTTCCTCCTCAACAGCAGCACATGAAGTGAGGAGGAAGTCAGGTATGGAAGGAAGCTACCTGTAGAGGACCAGTGTGGCCAATTAGAGGATAGGTTGCATTAGGCATCAGAGGAAGTGCTTAATGAGGCTGTGTCTATTCGTACGATATCGTGTACATAAGGAGTACATATTCCACAATGTACACGATATCGTGTAAATAACAGACAATTTATCGCAATATGCACGATATCGTGTAAATAACAGACACTTTATCACAATATGCACGACATCGTGTAAATAACAGACACTTTATCACAATATGCACGACATCGTGTAAATAACAGACAATTTATCACAATATGCACGACATCGTGTAAGTAACAGACAGTTTATCACAATATGCACGACATCGTGTAAATAACAGAACTTTAATCATAAAATGCACGATATATCGTGTAAATAATGAAACATTTACCATAATATGCACGATATCGCCAGAATAACAGCACACGTTATGTTATCACGGGTTAAATTATTCGATCTATCAGCAGCGATTACGAACATTATATACAAGTACATGTTATCTTTGGCTTTTTTCAGATTATGTTGAAATTATATTTTTGTGAGTTATTTTGCAAAATGACCAAGAATACTGCTGCATTATTTTTGTAAAGACGTTTTGTTATTTCATGCTACTGTATATTTTAGTTGTTTGGGATGTGCTTATTTATGTTCTTTTAGCAAAGAACATTCTTGATCATCTTTATCATAACAAAGAAATGTCTTCAGTATTGGATCTTAGTATGTCAAATTTAAGGTTGAGTAAGACTGCATACTTACCCTACATCTAAGGGCTGTCTCAAATATTTAGAAAAGAATGTTCAGGCATCTTATGGAGCCAAGAAATTGAACTCTTAAATTGAAATCAAAATGACAGTGCAACTTATTTTTAATGGTATTATACTTTGTAATTTGTACATGTGTTGTAAATATTGAATAATATGCAATTGTAAGAAAACTTGCATAAATATGTCCATATGATGTTAATAATAAATCTGTACAATCCATGTCAGTTGTCTTTCGTCAGTATTTAGGTCAAGATCTGTATAGCATAATGTTCAAATGACTCTGTATGATCACCTCTGTGGTGTAGATACAGCATCTGTCTGCCTGGAGAGTGTATGGTCGGTGGTTTGACCCTTTAGCTGAGCCGTAAAGGATGTTACTAGCGGTTACCCCGCCCTGCGCTCGGGTTAACGATATAAAGCAAGGAAAGATATAAATAGACTGAGGGAAGCCCTGCAAGTGTGAAAGAAATGTCTTAAGATAGACAGAAGGTTGAAGGGGGAGATCTGGTGGCTTTAAAGAGTTATTGTAGACAATAACTGTAGACAAGACAAACAATGAACATGTAGATGATTATGATGATTATGTATGAATAATGATGTGAATAACAATAATAAAATAAAGGTAACAAATTACCCTGCTACATCAGTATAACAAAAATTACAAAAACATATCCCCCAAAATATTCATGTACATTATGTTTGGATGTGGATTTTACAGGCGCTTCCAGACTTCACGATGTCATCAGTTTCATGTGCACCAGGAGAGACACAAAATCACACTCAATTCATAGAACCGGTTGTCTTTGCCATGTCTTGACTGCCGGACCCCATCGTGGCTCAAGCCTGCATTTTGCTCATTCCACAATGAAACAAATATCCGTCAGTTCGTTATAAGCGTGTTCGTTCGTTTTTGACAAGCACGAATATCTGGACTCTTCTCTCTTAGCGCCACCGTCACTGAATCCAGGAATATGTCTTCACGACTACCAGATAATATAGTTCCATTTTTACAGCCGAATCCCATGCCATTTTAACAGCTCAAAATATATTGGGAAACAATATAAACTACGGTTATAACGAACTCAAAGGGTCCACTAATTTCAGTTCGTTATAACCGTAGTTCGTTATAAGCATATACAGCATATGTATAGCAAATGGTCGGGTCAAAAAACAATAAGTTCGTGATATCCGTCAGTTCGTTATAAGCGTGTTCGTTTTAAACGTAGTTTACTGTATTTTCGGTCTCTCTCTCTCAAAACTCAAGTTTTGAGAGAGAGAGAGAGGGGGGGGGGGGGGGGGGGGGGGAGAGATAGAGAGAGAAAAAAACAGAGTCCTGATATTCGTGCTTGTCCAAACTCCTTTATCCACACCTGATGAAACTTATACGCATGATGAAATCATTTGTTTTATGTGTATAATATAAAGGAGTTTTGGCAAGCACGAATATCTGGACTCTGTTTTATAAATAAAAAACTTGGTGAATATATCTTTATCCGTGTGTAGTGTGTACTGACCTAGATATCACGCCAACTTATCTACCACAGTTCAGGGCGGCTTGAACCACATCTGATAGACTGAAACTGTTTCAACCCGCCCAGTAATCAGTTAGAGTTATCTGCCCCTGGTATTCCACCACGAGGTACGGAGTGTTTGTGATCGTTTGTCGCTCAGCTCAACAATGGCTCAAGTGTTAAGCGGGAAGGAAGCGTCAGCGTGAGTACATGCATAGTTGGTCACATGTCCAGAACTATTGTCTATATGCATACGAATATTGCATTTTATGTCGATTTGTTTTTTCGACGTTTTTAACCCAAAAAAACAACACCTCGAAGGTTGTCCCCTCCTTGACCCACTACAGTATCAGCTCGTTTGTCACTTTGATTCAGAGTGTTAGCAGCATGCAAACTGACAGCTTGACAGTTTGCACTAAGTCAGTGTGACTTAGCACGGCGTTGTGTAGGAGACAGTGTCTACTGGACTCAAAACAAGGTTATAATAATAAATGGGATTGGGGGTGGCCTCTTTTATTTAGGTAATAGAATAAAATGATTTTGGAAAAGTAAAAATTATTATAATTGAAATGTGTTTTGTTGTGTATGAGTATCAATATAATTCTTCAACAGTGTGAAAACTAATTTATTAGCTATATATAACCAGGACATTCATGTTCGATCATTGGTCGACCAGTGAAGATCTGGGGTAGAATAGCTCTTCAGCAACCCATGCTTGCCGTAAAAGGCAACAATGCTTGTCGTAAGAGGGGACTAACGGTATCGGGTGGTCAGGCTCGATGACTTGGTTGATGCATGTCATCGATCCCAATTGCGTGGAATGATGCTCATGCTATCAATCACTGGATTGTCTGGTCCAGGCTTGATTATTTACAGACCGCCGTATTATATCTGGAATATTGATGAGTGCGGCGTAAAACAACAAACCAACCAACCAGCTGAGCATCGGTCCATCCTTCTGTCCATCCTTCTGTCCATCCTTCCATACTTCTGTCCATCCTACAAGAATACATGTTTGTATAGATTATGGTTTCTCAACTCTGCTCACAAGATTCCATATCAGTTTTGAACATGCATAGCTGGCATGGCAATATTTGCCAATAATTTCTGTGATTTATTTGTGCATATTGGCAGAGACCATATACTGAGGCACCAGCCTCAGCAGCAGGTTATCATTGAGGATCACTGCTGCACCCCAGAGAGTAACTGATGCATTGAACCGCCCTGCTGCTTTTCTCTTGGCAACGAGGGTTGGTTGGGTAGCCTTGTGGTTAAAGCGTCTGCTCGTCAAGCCGAAGACCCGGGTTGATTCCCCACATGGTTACATTGTGTGAAGCCCATTTCTGGTGTCCCCCGCAGTGATATTGCTAGAATATTGCTAAAAGGGTTGTAAAACCATACAAACTCACTCACTCACTCTCCTGGCAGCGGTCAAGATGCACGACACATGCGCAGATGCTTTTAACTGAGGACTTCCATAGTCTAGTAAATAATCTAACGCAATGCTGAATGCTGTGAGTTATTTCCCCTTGCTTTCCCTCACGCACACACGCTGACATTACACTGCTACATTTCGAGTATTAGGTTGGTTGGTTTGTTGTTTAACGCCGCACTCAGCAATATTCCAGCTATATGACGGCGGTCTGTAGATAATTTAGTCTGGACCAGACAATCCAGTGATTAATATCATGAGCATCGATCCACGTAATTGGGATCGATGACATGCATCAAACAAGTCAGCGAGCTCACCATCCGATCCCGTTAGTCGCCTTTTACGACAAGCATAGTGACCTTTTACGGCAAGCATGGGTTGCTGAAGACCTATTCTACCCCGGAATCTTCACGGGTGTCGAGTATTAGGCTAACCACAGACAAAAACTAAATCATATCACCAAGCGATAACAAACTTGGTCAATGAAAATTGCACTAGACATGATGATTATGTTTCCTGTTCTGCTTGGCATTGTGTTCTATGCAGAGATTAAGATCTACTGGTGAAGAAATTGTATCTGAAACTTATTTTCCCAGCAATGATATATTCCAATATTTGGGTACTTTATTTGCAGCTTTATAGATTAGTAATATAAATGAATAATAATAACCATAAATGTGGCACTTGGATATAGGGCTGGAATGTTGTTTTACGTATGGAAAAGTTTGGCAGGTCACCGTTAGAGCCTTCCCATGTTCTTGCTAATTTGTTTGCGAAATGAATATGTTGACATGTAATAGTCAATCTACAACAAATATGACTTTTAACAAGTCAAAATATGGCATTTAGGATACATGTATTCATTCTCTGTCAACTGACATCAGTTTCGAAGTGCCAATAGCGGTAATCTGATCATCATTGCTGTAAATAACAGTGAGTAGGAGTGATCTGCCGAAAATAATGTAAACAGTAATGTATGAAGTTTTGAATAAAATCAATATACATTATACAACGAACACTATTTATAACCAGATTTGTAATAACAGGACTAACATGCATACTTTGTCAAATGCCTAACTTTTTTGGATGAGAATCTGGAAATTAATTTATTATAGCCTCGTGTACAACAACAAAAAATAATAGAAAACGGGGGGAAAAATCATCCTTTATTTTCCTTCTTTGAAGACTTTAAGACTTCTTTTTCTCGGGTTGTTTTTCAACATGGACTACATGCCGACCTGCATGCTTGACTTGTAGACAGGTTTTTTCCTCTTTCGACCTACGTGATGTCTGCTCAGATTGTTGGTTCATCGCTGCAGTTCATCTGCGCTTTGTTCACAGTGTGTCAAGGGCAGTGGGGTAGTCTAGTGGTTGAAGCATTTGCTTGTCAAACCAAGGGCCCAGGTTCGATTTCCCCACATGGGTACAATGTGTGAAGGCCCCCTCCACCCATCCCCGAGTGTCCCCCACCACGATATTGCTGGAGTATTGCTAAATGTGGCATAAAACCAAACTCACTCACTCACAGTATGTTGACCTACCTGACAAGTCTTTCAGTATATATCTACACAAGTGCCAGTGCAGGGAATAAGACTGGCTTTCTCAGTCCGCTGAAAAATCATCCAAAGCTAAGAAAACCCCTAAGAAGAAGTCGAAGCTACCTACAACTCCGTCAATCAGCAGATCGTTAACCCCTCGCTTCCTATCTTGTCTGTCGATGATGATGGAGTTTCTAGCAGCTTACTCATGGGAGACATTTCTGTCTCGACTGCTTGGTCCCTTCCAGAGAATGTACTGTCAACGTCAATGGTAATTCAACCTTCTGTTGCAGACGTAAGAATGAAAAAGATATCAATTCATTGAAATTCTGTTCCGTAGGCATATTCATCACTTCAACCAACTTCATTGTGGGAAAGTCCATCTACTATTGGCTTCATATAATGAACAATTCCATCACAAGGTATTTTGAGAAAAAATATGACTGTGCGGCATTAAGTTTTTTACTGGTAAAATTAGGCTCGGACCGGTAATTCATGTGACTGCCAGTCCCTGTAGATCGACAAATAAAGAACCTTATAAATCTGTGATATTCATACAAGTATATTTTTCGAATGAAGTCAGCTGTTTCCCCTTGTCGATTTTTAATGCAAGGAAATGACATTTTGCTTTGCTTCTAGGTTAAAAATATATTTGTAGTGACTTCGTCTTGAAATATAAAAAAAGATGAGAAAATTGTGACTGAACTTCATGTGATTAACGTGTTAATCAAACTGAGTTACTTCAGAGATGATATCATTGCATTGAACATGATGTTGAAAGAATTATAACCAAGTAATTTTCTTGTTTTTTTATTTGTTGAAAGTTAAAAGCTGGGACTGACAAATATTAGAGGGGACTGGTAATTTTTAGAGTTACCAGTCCAACAGGACTGGCAGTTTCAAGAGCCAGCGAGAACACTGAGCTTACCCTAGCCCTTCCATGATAACCAACTGTGCAATTGTCACTTTGACACAAGAATGTTTGAACCCTGGCAATACCAACTAATTTTCTGATATAATGATAAATTTTCCATATTCCTAAAAAACTCACTAAAATTTTAGTCTTATCGGATAGGGTACATTCGACCAAGTATGTCAACTACTGATTTTGCTTTCACTCAGCAGCTTGCTAGGGAGAGTTATCTCCCCTATACTGTCTCTGGCAACACTTGTTCCCAGAACTTCCGTTACACTCATGCTGGTAGCTTCTTAACTTGTGTGAAGTGGAACACTGGGGTTTCTTCTGGACCATCGTTGTTCCGGAGTGGTAGATGTGAGAGATCAGAATTCTGTTTTCCTGAACTGGATGTCATATGAATTGTGATCTGTGTCAAGTGTTAAATGTCTCTCGAGAAAAAATTAGGGAGAGCGCCTGCTTTTCAATCTGTGCATATTTCTGCTTGCTCTAAGCAAGTGTTCTCAAAGAATATGCTACAGGTTTTTCTGAACCATCTGTAACACATGGGATATGACAGTTCCAAGGCAGTAACTTGAGGTGTCACAAGCTAACTTCAAGGGAAGGTCCATATCATAGTGACCATTGGTGTGTCAAGATGTTCACAGAATGCATGTCGACATAAATCATTGCAAATCAACTGTACTCTATCTTTAAGGAGGTTGTTGAGCATGTTGAGAGGATAGATGCTGCTGAAATCATAAGCCTACATTTTACTAATAAATTAAGTAACATTAGTGCCGCATTGGTTCACCTGTTGGTTGTTTCTTTATTGTAAAGTGTACTGTTTTACACTGGTTTTGTGCAGGCTGGGACGATACACCAACTGTGCGATCTGATACGTATCACAATACCTTGCTCATGGTCTGATATGTATCGTTCGCTCGTCACGCCGAAGACCCGGGTTCGAATCCTGACATGGGTACAATGTGTGAAGCCCATTTCTGGTGTTCCCCGACGTGATATTGCTAGAATATTGCTAAAAGCGGTGTAAATCCAAAACTCACTCACTCAATCTGATATGTATCACGATACTTGCATGTGCTCTTATGTGTGGTGCGTAAGATTTGTTTTTCATAGACAATATGGCCAAATACCTGGCACACTAACAATTTACAGTTGGCAGTGTCAAGTATGGCGCAACAGATGAAAATGTTGACGTTTTCACTACTCATTTTCACAAGTAATTGTTTTGTGTAACATATATTAAAGAAAGCATTTAAGGTAAGAATGGATACTTTTTACTTAGTGTGTGATTGTGATCGATACTTGTATCGAGAATTAAAAATTTGCGATCCATTGATGCATTGGTGTATCTTCGCACTGCATGTTGTGTGCTGCTATACATGTATGATTGTGTTTACAGAGACATTCGGGGTAAGCTGAAGGTGGAAGTGCAAGAACTACAGGAGAAGTACCCAGGACTGGTGCCATGTTTGGCCATTGTACAGGTGGGTCATCTTAGGCCACTTCCTTAGGATTCCAGGGCAAAGTAGGTCCCCAGCCCACCATGCTTATAGAAAACAAATGTGGAACAATTAATGTGCCTTCTGTTGACAGACTATGTAACTGTCTGTTGAGTTGTTCCACAGATGTCAGCTTGCTAAACCTTTATGTGATGAGGAAATGGTATCTGACCTTGCTGACCTCGCATTGATACTAATCCCTTTACAGAACTAGGAAAGTTTATGGCCACCACATGTCTCTCCATGAGGTGTTCTGGTTTAGAAAAAATCTTGAGTATCATATTTAGAAATTTGGGGAAACGTCTGTGCCCTATGCTCTTATAGAGGAGGTCGGTGTCCCATGCTCTTCCTAGAGGAGGTCAGTGCCCCATGCTCTTCCTAGAGGAGGTCAGTGCCACATGCTCTTCCTAGAGGAGGTGGGTGCCCCATGCTCTTCCTAGAGGAGGTCGGTGCCCCATGCTCTTCCTAGAGGAGGTTGGTGCCCCATGCTCTTCCTAGAGGAGGTCGGTGCCCCATGCTCTTCCTAGAGGTCGGTGCCTCATGCTCTTCCTAGAGGAGGCCGGTGCCCCATGCTCTTCCTTGAGGAGGTCGGTGCCCCATGCTCTTCATAGAGGAGGTTGGTTCCCCATGCTCTTCCTTGAGGAGGTTGGTGCCCCATGCTCTTCATAGAGGAGGTTGGTGCCCCATGCTCTTCCTTGAGGAGGTTGGTGCCCCATGCTCTTCATTGAGGAGGTTGGTGCCCCATGCTCTTCATAGAGGAGGTTGGTGCCCCATGCTCTTCATAGTGGAGGTCGGTGCCCCATGCTCTTCATAGAGGAGATTGGTGCCCCATGCTCCTTATAGTGGAGGTCGGTGCCCCATGCTCTTCATAGAGGAGGTCGGTGCCCCATGCTCTTCATAGTGGAGGTCGGTGCCCCATGCTCTTCGTAGAGGAGGTCGGTGCCCCATGCTCTTCGTAGAGGAGGTCGGTGCCCCATGCTCTTCATAGAGGAGGTCGGTGCCCCATGCTCTTCATAGAGGAGGTCGGTGCCCCATGCTCTTCATAGAGGAGATTGGTGCCCCATGCTCTTCATAGAGGAGGTCGGTGCCCCATGCTCTTCATAGAGGAGGTCAGTGCCCCATGCTCTTCGTAGAGGAGGTTGGTTCCCCATGCTCTTCCTTGAGGAGGTTGGTGCCCCATGCTCTTCATAGAAGAGGTTGGTGCCCCATGCTCTTCCTTGAGGAGGTTGGTGCCCCATGCTCTTCATAGAGGAGGTCAGTGCCCCATGCTCTTCATAGTGGAGGTCGGTGCCCCATGCTCTTCATAGAGGAGATTGGTGCCCCATGCTCTTCATAGAGGAGGTCAGTGCCCCATGCTCTTCGTAGAGGAGGTTGGTTCCCCATGCTCTTCCTTGAGGAGGTTGGTGCCCCATGCTCTTCATAGAGGAGGTTGGTGCCCCATGCTCTTCCTTGAGGAGGTTGGTGCCCTATGCTCTTCATTGAGGAGGTTGGTGCCTCATGCTCTTCATAGAGGAGGTCGGTGCCCCATGCTCTTCATAGTGGAGGTCGGTGCCCCATGCTCTTCATAGAGGAGATTGGTGCCCCATGCTCCTTATAGTGGAGGTCGGTGCCCCATGCTCTTCATAGTGGAGGTCGGTGCCCCATGCTCTTCGTAGAGGAGGTCGGTGCCCCATGCTCTTCGTAGAGGAGGTCGGTGCCCCATGCTCTTCATAGAGGAGGTCGGTGCCCCATGCTCTTCATAGAGGAGGTCGGTGCCCCATGCTCTTCATAGTGGAGGTCGGTGCCCCATGCTCTTCATAGAGGAGATTGGTGCCCCATGCTCCTTATAGTGGAGGTCGGTGCCCCATGCTCTTCATAGAGGAGGTCGGTGCCCCATGCTCTTCATAGTGGAGGTCGGTGCCCCATGCTCTTCGTAGAGGAGGTCGGTGCCCCATGCTCTTCGTAGAGGAGGTCGGTGCCCCATGCTCTTCATAGAGGAGGTCGGTGCCCCATGCTCTTCCAAGAGGAGGTCGGTGCCCCATGCGCTTCCTAGAGGAGATCGGTGCCCCATGCTCTTCCTAGAGGGATTCCAGGGCAGATGGACTGCCTCTGTGGTCTAGTGGTAGAGCGTCCACCCGGAGAGCGGAAGGTCCTGGGTTTGATCCCCGTCCGCATCATACCAAAACACATTAAAAGATGGTACTTGTTGTTACCCTCCTTGGTGCTCGGCTTAAAGGAGCTAAAACAGGACTGGTTGGCTCAGAGTCAGTATACTGTCTGAGTGGTGTATACATGTTAAACTGCGGCATGGTATCTCAGTGGGCTAGCACTATAAATCGGCATTAGTCCATACTAGTACAAGCAGCCACACGCACATGCATGCATGTCGCTATATAAGTGCAATAATCTTGGACATGATGTTAAACCCCATTTCACCTCACCTCCAGGGCAGAGGAGGTCTGTACCCCTTTATTTGTAAGGGAGGGGAATGAGTTAATATTTAACGCCATGATTGTGAAAGCCATCCAATGAAGATAGGTCGCTACAATTTACAAACTGACGGGCGATTTTGCCATGACAACATTAATCCTTTGTTTATGCTATCAACCATGTAAGTATTTAAGCGGCACTGCTATGATTGTCTTTATCAGATGCTACCTATAAATATTTTTTGAGGTCTATACACGATATGAACTATTTTGTAGGTTGGTGGGAGAGAGGATTCAAATGTCTACATCAACATGAAGCTCAAGTCGGCGGCTGAGGTTGGCGTGGACGCTCGACACATCAAAATATCCCGAACAGCCACACAAAATGAAGTAGGTATTAGGTATTAGTAGGTTTCTATGTTAGTACAATTGGCCATATACATGATATAGTAGTGCTGTAAGTTTAATCATCAATATATCGACTGACAATAATAATGTAATTGTGATGCACTGATGATAAGAATCATAAGATAGAGAGGATTACAGTTACGATTATAAAGAAATTGATAAATGTTTGCCTTGTGAGTTCAAAGTAAAGAATGTTGGCAATATTATGATGTTCATGCTTTATCATTATGTTTTACGTTATAGTAGCACCATTGTATGCAATATTAATTACATTAAGTAATACGTTACCACTGTTATACCGAGGCTGTTGTCTCCCACAACTGCTGCTATAGCGAAATCTACCACAGAGATCTCAATTACCTCATGCAGCACGTGCGTAGCCACCTAGCTGCCATGTGACACCCTTCACTCTTGTCTCTTCGCTTGCTCTAGCAAGACGTACAATAAACTGCTCAAGCGTTCCTGTTTCTCCGACCATTCGGTGATATTTATTACTGTTTATTCTCTCTAATAAACTGTGCTTTTACGGGGCGTTTGCTGTAACTACGCTTGGAAATCTTTTTCCCGCCAAAAGGAAATATTTTTCCCGCCCTTTTTTTTTTCTATATACTTGCGGGGTGTCTTGTATGCACGTTGCGTCTTACGTTCCCCTGTTCTAGTATATCTTGGGGTTTTTACATCACTTATTCCTCTATATGTTATATGTGTATGTTCTATATTCCCATTGCTCGTTTATTTTCTTGTGAAAATACTCGTTTGTGACTATTTGTGGTGCATGTGTTGTAACCATGTTTTGCTCTTTGTTCATAGTACAAACAAAATGTCTGACATGGATGTTTCGCCGTCCTCCACCCCCTCTACCCCTGCAACCAGGAGCTGCGGGGTGTGCCGCAAGCGAGCGCTACCGGCTGTATGTGCAGTCCGTTTCCACCCCTGTGGTGGTCGGCTCGTCCGGTCGGGGTCCCCTTGCGGGTACCACCACCACGGCTGTGGCGGTTCCCTTGGCGGCCCGTGGGCTGTCCGGGGTTTCCGTCGCTGCATTACTTGCATAACTTGTGGACTCCAAGCTGGCGGCCTTATCTCAGGATAGGCCGCTGGCTGTTCCGTCCCCGGCCACTTTGGTGGCCGCGGGGTCACCGGTCCTTCCCCCGAAACCGTTGCTCCCGCTATCGGTTAAGGACCGCGTGGCCATGGTTTATGACCTCTTTGAGGACATGCCCCGGCCGGTACCGCGGGGAATCCACGACTGTGGGTTCCTCCGAGGTATACGATGAGTCTTCCGACACGGCTTTCCCCGCATCGACCTTGCTGCGCGGTTTCAAGCCTTCCTTGGAGAACGCCTTCGCGGCGGCCTCCGGTCGGGGTCTCCCGTTGCCTCCGACGTCGTGGAGAAAGGGTTTGTTCCCGGTACATGACCTTGCCTTTCCCGAGGCTGGTCCTACCGCGGAGGCCCATGTTGAGCGGTTGGGTGTCCGTGCCCCACCGGCTGCTACGGTAACGCAAGCTACCTTGCACCAGCTGGACGCCCTCGCTCAGCACTCCATGTCTCCCACAGCTGCTGCTATAGCGAAATCTACCACAGAGATCTCAATTACCTCATGCAGCACGTGCGTAGCCACCTAGCTGCCATGTGACACCCTTCACTCTTGTCTCTTCGCTTGCTCTAGCAAGACGTACAATAAACTGCTCAAGCGTTCCTGTTTCTCCGACCATTCGGTGATATTTATTACTGTTTATTCTCTCTAATAAACTGTGCTTTTACGGGGCGTTTGCTGTAACTACGCTTGGAAATCTTTTTCCCGCCAAAAGGAAATATTTTTCCCGCCCTTTTTTTTTTCTATATACTTGCGGGGTGTCTTGTATGCACGTTGCGTCTTACGTTCCCCTGTTCTAGTATATCTTGGGGTTTTTACATCACTTATTCCTCTATATGTTATATGTGTATGTTCTATATTCCCATTGCTCGTTTATTTTCTTGTGAAAATACTCGTTTGTGACTATTTGTGGTGCATGTGTTGTAACCATGTTTTGCTCTTTGTTCATAGTACAAACAAAATGTCTGACATGGATGTTTCGCCGTCCTCCACCCCCTCTACCCCTGCAACCAGGAGCTGCGGGGTGTGCCGCAAGCGAGCGCTACCGGCTGTATGTGCAGTCCGTTTCCACCCCTGTGGTGGTCGGCTCGTCCGGTCGGGGTCCCCTTGCGGGTACCACCACCACGGCTGTGGCGGTTCCCTTGGCGGCCCGTGGGCTGTCCGGGGTTTCCGTCGCTGCATTACTTGCATAACTTGTGGACTCCAAGCTGGCGGCCTTATCTCAGGATAGGCCGCTGGCTGTTCCGTCCCCGGCCACTTTGGTGGCCGCGGGGTCACCGGTCCTTCCCCCGAAACTGTTGCTCCCGCTATCGGTTAAGGACCGCGTGGCCATGGTTTATGACCTCTTTGAGGACATGCCCCGGCCGGTACCGCGGGGAATCCACGACTGTGGGTTCCTCCGAGGTATACGATGAGTCTTCCGACACGGCTTTCCCCGCATCGACCTTGCTGCGCGGTTTCAAGCCTTCCTTGGAGAACGCCTTCGCGGCGGCCTCCGGTCGGGGTCTCCCGTTGCCTCCGACGTCGTGGAGAAAGGGTTTATTCCCGGTACATGACCTTGCCTTTCCCGAGGCTGGTCCTACCGCGGAGGCCCATGTTGAGCGGTTGGGTGTCCGTGCCCCACCGGCTGCTACGGTAACGCAAGCTACCTTGCACCAGCTGGACGCCCTCGCTCAGCACTCCATGTCTCACGGAGACACTTACTTGGCTGCAGCGGCCAGTCTGGTCGAAGGTTCTCCCACGGACCGTGACCAGCGCATTTACAACTGCCTGCTCAGTTTAAATGCTTCCTGGAGTACGTTGCCGAGGACCCTCGGCACACACTTGCTCTTGTTGGGTCCCTGCATAGGCGCCAGGCTGCTGCGGCCGGTAGGTCTAAGGGGTCGGGTTCTTCTTCCTCTGGGAAGTAGCCCCGCCCTGAGGGCTGCGGTATGGGCAATCTGCTGCCCTTTCGCGGGAAGACGGGGAACTGGGGGAAGCCCAAGTCGTCTAAGGACGGCAAGGGCCCCTCCAGGTGACTCTCATTGGAGGGGTTCGTATGCCTACAGCGCCAACTTCGGTTGGCCCTTCGGCGAACCCGAGTCACTTGGCCCTGGACAGTTGCGCCTGCCGCAGCCTGTCAGGGCCCCCTTTCCTTCCCCAGTGGGAGACAGACTCCAGACCCACAGTCACTCGCTACTCGATCTCACGTTCGAGTTTTACGCTCTGGTGGACAGTGTCCCATGCCAGCTACGCGCCCGTCACATCCCAGGTGTGCGGTACGTACTGGCCGATGCTCTATCGAGGCCTCAGGATCCGAGCCCCACAGAGTGGATGCTGAACCCAGTAGTGTTTCAGTGGCTGTGCGAACAATTGGGTCGTCCGATGGTCGACCTGTTCGCAACGCGGTTCAACAATCAACTCCCGTTGTTTGTATCACCAGTCCCGGACCCGAGGGCCATCGATCACGATGCTCTCGCGTTAGACTGGACGGGCTTGGACGCTTATGCTTACCTGCCGACAGCGTTGATACCACACATTCTAAGCCGGCTCCGAGGAGTTCGCTGTCGAATGTTACTGATCGCGCCCATGTGGCCGAACAGATCGTGGTACCCCGACTTGCTGACCCAGGTCACGCAGTTGCCATTTCCACTGCCTGTGAGACCGGATCTCTTGATCCACCTTACACCCGTCAGCTTCATCCAAACGCAGGGCAGTTCAATCTGCACGCGTGGATGTTGTCACCGAGCGTCTGAGGAGTAAAGGTTTTTGTCGCCGGGCGTCTCGGGCATACGTAAGTATGCATCGTGATTCTACCAAGAAGGTGTATAATGCACGTTTGGTTATTTTCACGAAGTGGTGTTGTAAACATCACATTCATTCGCCAGATAAGGTATCTGTGCAGGATATTGCTCGTTTCATGTCTCACTTACGACAGACCCGGAAACTCTCCGGGGGTTCCATTGCCAACTATATCTCGTCCGTTGCTACGGTACGGGACGTTGCTATGGGTACCAGTCTCTCCAAAGAGCCGGTGATACGGGGTATTATCAAGGGTTTCAAACAGCACGACCTTAAGAAGGGCCGCCTTCGGGCACCGGCATGGGATCTTTCCCTAGTGTTGCAATCACTTACGGAAGCTCCGTATGAATCCTTGCATAGTGCTTCGTTCCGGCATGTGACTTGGAAAACAGCATTTCTCCTCTCCTTTGCCACGGCGGCACGTGTATCCGAAATTCATGCACTCGATGTCGCCAAGGTACGATTCGATAGGGGTGACGAAGGAGCGGTCCGCCTGGGCCTGCTCATGGGCTTCGTCGCCGAGAATCGGGCAAACGGAGAGAGAATTCACTGTAAGATCACTCAAAGAAATCTTACATCCTGCTGATACTGAGGACAGAGCGCTGTGTCCGGTTAGGGCCCTTAAGTATTATCTTAAGGCTTCCAATGAACGTAGACAAGGGCGTGACCGTCTGTTCTTATCGTGTAACCCTAATCGCACGGTTGACATAACTCGCAACTCGATTGCGTTGTGGCTTCGTTCTGTCATCAATCTGGCGTACCGGTCTCGGGGGTTACCGGTAGCGGGGTCAAACCCGCACGAGATCAGGGCGCTAGCGGCAACATTTGCCCTACACTCGAATATCTCTGTTCGCAGAATATTACGAGGTTGTTACTGGCGTTCTGACTCTTTTTTTGCCAATCATTACCTCAAACAGGTCACTGATGCCGTCGTGGAGAGTGTGCACCGTCTTGGCCCGCGGATCGCGGCGCAAGCGGGCACCTAAGGGGTGTGCCCAGCGCAATTCCGAACTCCTCAGGCGTCAGACCTTGCACGGTGGTCAATCTGGGTCGACTCCAATGTTCCCACTGCCGTGGGTACAGGAGTTGGGGTCCCGCAAACCAGCGCACTCACACCACAGGTGAGGGCGGCTTTTTGTGTGCTTTGTCCTTATTTGTATTTTGACAATTATGTATTTAATTGTCTGTCGTGTATCCCAACCTTGTGATGCATGCTTACAAATACTGGAATTAGGTCACGCGCCTAATGCATACTTTAAGTAGGCTTGCTCTGGGATATACGGTCTGAATGAAATTAATTTCCCTCTTTTCGACTGTTTAACTTGATCTAAGATTAAGCTCACGCGGATACAGTGTTCTCATCCGCTGCGGCGATGAAATACCTATCCAGTGGGGCCGTTTGGAGTCACCAATCGTTTTGGCAATGACGATTGAGCCTTACGGTATGCGCTTGACAGTGCTTTGGTATTCCTATAGGGTAACGCCTAGCTAGGTGCATGCGCATCGAGTGCTTCCGCCTTGGTGTTTACTTCCGCTGGTCGGAAGGAACGCTAGCAGTCAGGATTCGGGTTGTAGGTTCTCCCCACCGCATACTGTGGTAGTCAGCCTCGGTATAACAGTGGTAACGTATTACTTAATGTAATTTGTAGAATTTTCCTATTCGGAATATTCTATAAGTAATACGTTACCACTGGGCTGCTGCCCGCCCGTCCGTCCCCCGAGCACTTGCTCTCGCAAGAGACAAGAGTGAAGGGTGTCACATGGCAGCTAGGTGGCTACGCACGTGCTGCATGAGGTAATTGAGATCTCTGTGGTAGATTTCGCTATAGCAGCAGTTGTGGGAGACAACAGCCTCGGTATAACAGTGGTAACGTATTACTTATAGAATATTCCGAATAGGAAAATTCTACAAGTTAATAAGGTTAAACTTTCCACATATTGTCGTCAATACAGTATTGAATGACCTATTAGCATGATTAGTCCAGTAAAAAATGTTTTCTTGTTTTTCATGTTGTTTTTCAAAACTGACGAGTATTTTATCTTTCAGCTCTTCACAAATCTATTATAGTAAACCTAATTGTGATATACACCTGCCCTCATTTTCCAAGCTCCCCTCTTCTGAAAGTATGAAAAGATGGTCCCCGAGGCCAGTGTTACCATGCTGAGGTTACTCTGTGAATCAGACACACCATAAACACCATAAAAATTCTGGTGCAAAAGCGAAATTTTAGTTGAAAAAGTTGTTTCTTAACAGTGCTTAAATATACCTGAGCAAACTATAAGGGATTGGGGTAACTTTAGGGCAGGGTGATCATGAGGAACAAGAAATTTGTTTCAACAAGTCTTATATACGTGAGTGAGTAAGGATTATTTTACACTGCTTCTGTGCAATATTTCGGCATTGTCATGACAAGGTCAGCAGAAATGGGCTTCACACACTGTACTCATTGTTTTCACACATTGGAAATCGAACCCAGGCTTTTGGCGTGACAAGCGAACTCTTTAACCACTAGGCTACCCCACTGCCCCTAACACACAGGGGCGGTCAGGTAGCCTAGTGGTTGAAGCGTTCGCTCGTCACGCCGGGTTCGATTCCCGACATGGGTACAATGTGTGAAGCCCATTTCTGGTGTCCCCTGCCGTGATATTGCTGGAATATTGCTAAAAGCGGCGTAAAACCATACTCACTCACTCACTCACTCACAACTTGGTGACCCAGGGGGTATCTGGGTAGAGTAAAATACCCCAGCAACCAATGCATGTAATCACTGCCTTGACCTTGAAGCAATTTTATACAGTATCAGTTATATCACTGCATGCTAGCTTCAAGTGGAAGGATGGAACAGTTTGATGCAGGCTGAGCATATTTACACTTTCGGCGACACCAACATTGGTATCATGGCAACAGGCATCATTATCTGGGGTGTATCTGGAATTTGAACCCAAGCAGACTGTGACATAGCCACACAGCTCCACATATCATTTTGTGGAACCTTCAAATCGCCCTGTTTCTCTACAGATTATCAAGACAGTAGAAGATCTCAACAACAATGTCGACATCCATGGAATCATTGTACAGGTAGAGCTATGCTTGACGCTTCATCTATTACAGCCACGGCATCTTGTGATAGATCTGTAATAAACAATTCACCTGAGCAAGTACTAGTGTTAATTGTATAGAGTTATAAGAAGGACCCCAAGATTAAAATGATTAATTTCAAACATTGCATGTATCCTGTGTCTCAAGCTGTAAATGCCTGTCAAAGACAAGTTGCGAGATGCGTCTGTATCCTGGACGACTAACCCACATTCCTGTCTTACAGCTCCCTCTGGACACAGACAATGAAGTCGATGCCAACTTGGTGACAAATACCATACTACAGGTGAAGGATGTTGACGGGTGGGTATTGTATAGTCTATAACACAAGCTTGAAAACTCCTTATATTTGAATCTCCTTTGAAAAGGCTGTAAGATTTGATAAGATGCCTTAAGAGTCCTTAAATTTGAATATATCAGTTGACAGGGCCTTATGATTCAATACATGCGAAGAAAAAGGCCTTAATCTTAGCAGTCATGGGCTGTGAATTGGAGCCATTCTAATCTTAGTTGCTAAAGTAGGATCATGACCTTGAAAGGCCTTCAGAATGCCCAAATGTGGTGACTCAAGTTTTGTTTGAACTCTACTGTATTACCCTACTCAAGTTTTGTTTTAACTCTGCTGTATAACCCTACTCAAGTTTTGTTTGAACTCTGCGGTATTACACTACTCAAGTTTTGTTTGAACTCTGCGGTATTACCCTACTCAAGTTTTGTTTGAACTCTGCGGTATTACCCTACTCAAGTTTTGTTTGAACTCTGCGGTATTACCCTACTCAAGTTTTGTTGGAACTCTGCGGTATTACCCTACTCAAGTTTTGTTTGAACTCTGCGGTATTACCCTACTCAAGTTTTGTTTGAACTCTGCGGTGTTACCCTACTCAAGTTTTGTTGGAACTCTGCTGTATTACCCTACTCAAGTTTTGTTTGAACTCTGCTGTATTACCCTACTCAAGTTTTGTTTGAACTCTGCTGTATTACCCTACTCAAGTTTTGTTTGAACTCTGCGGTGTTACCCTACTCAAGTTTTGTTTGAACTCTGCGGTATTACCCTACTCAAGTTTTGTTTGAACTCTGCGGTGTTACCCTACTCAAGTTTTGTTTGAACTCTGCGGTATTACCCTACTCAAGTTTTGTTTGAACTCTGCGGTATTACCCTACTCAAGTTTTGTTGGAACTCTGCGGTATTACCCTACTCAAGTTTTGTTTGAACTCTGCGGTATTACCCTACTCAAGTTTTGTTTGAACTCTGCGGTGTTACCCTACTCAAGTTTTGTTGGAACTCTGCTGTATTACCCTACTCAAGTTTTGTTTGAACTCTGCTGTATTACCCTACTCAAGTTTTGTTTGAACTCTGCTGTATTACCCTACTCAAGTTTTGTTTGAACTCTGCGGTGTTACCCTACTCAAGTTTTGTTGGAACTCTGCGGTATTACCCTACTCAAGTTTTGTTGGAACTCTGCGGTATTACCCTACTCAAGTTTTGTTTGAACTCTGAGGTATTACCCTACTCAAGTTTTGTTTGAACTCTGCGGTGTTACCCTACTCAAGTTTTGTTTGAACTCTGCTGTATTACCCTACTCAAGTTTTGTTGGAACTCTGCGGTATTACCCTACTCAAGTTTTGTTTGAACTCTGCGGTGTTACCCTACTCAAGTTTTGTTTGAACTCTGCGGTATTACCTTACTCAAGTGTGTGGAAGGAGAGCCCAAAGGGATTCAGGTTGTAAATTTTACCACAACCAACTAGCATCATCACATCATATCTGGGGTAGATTTTGTACCCCCTAAGATATATCATATCATGATACTACTAAGGGACACAACTCTGTATGGTGAAATGTTCCTCTTGCGCCCCCTTGACATGTTGTGATGGAGATGTACTTTATTTGTCTCTGAAACAATGGACTTAGTTCATGGCATAAAACTTGAATAGATAATGATAAGTTGGAGCAGGTTTGAGTTTCTTGGTGCTAAAAAGTTTGAAAGATTTCACCACATTGGTGTTAGGATTGGTATAAGAGATTTATTCCCCTGCTGAGAAATTTATTCCTCTCCAAGGTGGGATACACAGTATTTTATCAAGATCACGTGGACCAATCAGATCTCATCATTCTGACATGGAAGTATGATAATATATGTTGTCTTCCACATGCCGGGCGAAAAGAGCTGACAATAGGAGAATAGGATTGTATGTCTCTGTAACTTGCATGGCATTTTACTCCGATTGTGTGGATCACTTTGCTTGTGATTTCTGTTGCCTGGACTGTACTTGGTATTTACAGCCAACATGATGATGTAGTATCGCTGACAGCGACATTATAAAAGAATTCACTCATTCACTGATTGACAAATACTGACACTGCATTGATTGTGTTTCAGCCTCCATGTTGATAATGCTGGTCGACTGTCTCGCGGTGACCTCGACAGTTGTATTCTCCCATGCACACCTCGAGGCTGTCTGGACCTCATTCACAGATCAGGTGAATATGTCAATGATGGACTTTATGTGAAAGCTGTTTGGTGGGGCTTCCCTAAAAGTATATTGGTTTGTTTAATCCCTTATTGGCATGAGTATCTGAGCTTGTTTGATTAGAGGCATTTTGTTAGCATCAAGATTTCCATTTTCTGTCCTGAATATCAGCATATTCAGCTTTTATCCCCTGGTTTGAAAAATGGGGGATATAGCAATCACCATGTCCATCCGTCTTGTTGAAACTTTCTATAAGGATCAGTCTAGCGGGAACTGGTGCCTTTTGATAATTTGGATTTTTATTTCTTTTCTTTTTTATTTCCTAATTTTTCATGATGAAAACAAGTTGTTTTCCATTTCCAGAGCAGAACTTCAAGACCATTCAATAAGTCTTGTTTAAACTTTCTGTGTAGATCAGTCTAGTGGGAGCTAGTGACTTTAGACATTTTTGGATTTAAAAAAAAAATCACCAAGACGACAAGTTGGACTGAAAATGAGGGTATTCCAGAGCAGAACCCCAAAATTGTTGGAAAATTTTGATGAAACTTCCTATGCAGATCAGTCTAGTGGTGAACTGGTGCCTTTTTGATGATTTGAGATATTGAAAAATACTGAACAGCATTATTATTTTCTTCACTGAAGGTATCCAATGGCAATGAACCAAAAGTGGCCAAACTTCTTTTCAGAATTGCACCAGACCGGGGGATATGTCATCTCCTGATGACTCTTGTTAAGATATGTAAAAGATTTTTCAGTGTATGTGTTGCATATGGTCAAACAGACCATCTTTCGGCATGAGGAAAGACTTGGGTTCCCTTGTATTGTGTCATGTGTGTGATGGAATGTCCAGACAAATGGGTTAGCACTGCTGGGGACAAACAGGAGGATGCCATGTTACAGCTGTCATGAGGCTGATAAAAGCAGCAGAATTTAGTATTGCTTGCATGGGGATAACAATAGTGCATTAGTGGGAGACATTGTCAGAATCACTTGCAGTGCAGTGTCGGATGATGCAGGGATTTCTCTAGACCTGCTCACAGGCTGATATTTGCCCCCAGATCTGAAGCAATTGTCGGTAAAAATTCACAAATTTGCAAAAGACATTTGCCAATAATGTTGTTATTGTGATTATAGTAATAACAAATAAGAGCTCCAGATAAGCTTTTTTACCCATGCATTTTAAAATCATTGGGTATCACTAATTCTATCTGGGTATTCAAATTTCTGTTACCCACTAGTTTTTAGACATGTGGGTATTTAAGTTCAATATTTAAAAACACTATTCATCTAGTCCCTGCAAACTGGTGTCGTGTGGGTTCGAGAGCTTTATAGGACTCAAAAATGCCATGATACTTCCACAACAAAATGTGATGGCAAATGATCATGACATAACTGTCATCGTGGAGTTTGGCAAGGTTGATGGAATGCCCGTTTATAATTTCAAAATAAGTTGCTGATTTGCTAATCGAATACGCAGGGTTACTTCACAATATTTTGATGATACGCACACGTTTTATTTTTGTAGCATATCTGTAATGTTCGTTGCGTATTTGATACGCTTGGATTTTATTTAACTGCGTATTTCTGCATTTCTGATGCGTATTTTACGCAGATACACAGCTTATCTGGAGCTCTGCAAATGCTATTGCTTTGCAGAGGCAGCTTGCATTTCACTGATAACAGGACCAATAACAAAAAGAGGCTTTAATGTGTAGTTTGTATTTTGTATTCAATGACACATTAAAATACCCTTGAATTTAAGAAAATAAGGACTCTTTGAAAGTCCCTGTTTTGTGCAAATTGTTGGTTTTTTCCTCACTTTGTGTGCCAAAGACACTTAGTGTTGAGTCCTAGATACAGCCCTGTAATGTCAAGTTGGTGGTGTGTGCAGGTGTGGAGGTGAAGGGCAAACAAGCTGTGGTGCTGGGCAGGAGCAAGATCGTGGGAGCCCCGATGTCCGACCTCCTGCTGTGGAACCATGCTACCGTCACCCAGTGTCACTCCAGGACAGCTGACCTCAAGGCAGAGGTGAGTGTTGTGTCAGGTGACCTCAAGGCAGAGGTGAGTGTTGTGTCGGACAGCCGACCTCAAGGCAGAGGTAAGTGATGTGTCGAAAAGCTGACCTCAAGGCAGAGGTGAGTGTTGTGTCGGAGGGCTGACCTCAAGGCAGAGGTGAGTGTTGTGTCGGACAGCTGACCTCAAGGCAGAGGTGAGTGTTGTGTCGGACAGCTGACCTCAAGGCAGAGGTGTTTGTTGTGTCGGAGGGCTGACCTCAAGGCAGAGGTGAGTGTTGTGTCGGACAGCTGACCTCAAGGCAGAGGTGAGTGATGTGTCGGACAGCTGACCTCAAGGCAGAGGTGAGTGTTGTGTCAGACAGCTGACCTCAAGGCAGAGGTGAGTGTTGTGTCGGACAGCTGACCTCAAGGCAGAGGTGAGTGTTGTGTTGGACAGCTGACCTCAAGGCAGAGGTGAGTGATGTGTCGGACAGCTGACCTCAAGGCAGAGGTGAGTGTTGTGTCGGACAGCTGACCTCAAGGCAGAGGTGAGTGTTGTGTCGGACATTTGACCTCAAGGCAGAGGTGAGTGTTGTGTCGGACAGCTGACCTCAAGGCTGAGGTGAGTGTTGTGTCAGACAGCTGACCTCAAGGCTGAGGTGAGTGTTGTGTCGGACATCTGTCCTCAAGGCCGAGGTGAGTGTTGTGTCAGATGACCTCAAGGCAGAGGTGAGTGTTGTGTCGGAAAGCTGACCTCAAGGCAGAGGTGAGTGTTGTGTCGGACGGCTGACCTCAAGACAGAGGTGAGTGTTGTGTCGGACAGCTGACCTCAAGGCAGAGGTAAGTGATGTGTCGGACAGCTGACCTCAAGGCCAATGTGAGTGTTGTGTCGGACAGCCGACCTCAAGGCAGAGGTAAGTGATGTGTCGGACAGCTGACCTCAAGGCAGAGGTGAGTGTTGTGTCGGACAGCTGACCTCAAGGCAGAGGTAAGTGATGTGTTGGACAGCTGACCTCAAGGCAGAGGTGAGTGTTGTGTTGGACAGCCGACCTCAAGGCAGAGGTAAGTGATGTGTCGGACAGCTGACCTCAAGGCAGAGGTGAGTGTTGTGTTGGACATCTGACCTCAAGGCAGAGGTGAGTTGTGTCGGACAGCTGACCTCAAGGCAAGAGGTGAGTGTTGTGTTGGACAGCTGACCTCAAGGCTGAGATGAGTGTTGTGTCGGACATCTGACCTCAAGGCAGAGGTGAGTGTTGTGTCGGACAGCTGACCTCAAGGCAGAGGTGAGTGATGTGGCGGACAGTTGACCCCAAGGCCAATGTGAGTGTTGTGTCAGACAGTTGACCCCAAGGCCAATGTGAGTGTTGTGTCAGACAGCTGGCCCCAAAGCAGAGGTGATTGTTGTTTTGGGGATGGGTTTTGTGGCTGAGAGACAGTCTAACCTCACCCATGAAGATCAGAGTTAGAATTGGTCTTCAGCAACCCATGCTTGCCATAAAAGGCGACTATGCTTGTCGTAAGAAGCGACTTACGGGATCGGGCGGCCAGACTCGCTGACTTGGTTGATGCATGTCATCGTATCCCAATTGCATGGATTGATGCTCATGATGTCAATCACTGGATTGTTGGGTCCAGACTCGATGTTTTGCAGACTGCTGTCATATTGCTGTGTGCAGCGTTAAACAACAAACAAACAAACAGTCTAACCTCAATTCAGTAGACCATGACATTCAGTTGCAAGTTCTGTGTGGTATTATTTTTGTGGTATTTCAAAACACTCTGTGTCTGTATGACTATCCCGGCAGAGCGCTGTCGATTAGCCCTTCATTCTGCTGACCAGACCTCACTATGACCACAGGTACAGAAGGCCGACATCCTTGTAGTAGCTATCGGCAAGCCCGAGTTGGTTCGGGGGGACTGGATCAAGCCTGGGGCTGTAGTAGTGGACTGCGGCATCAACTCCATTCCAGGTAGGGAGCCGCATTCAACTAGGGGACCGTTGGGTTCATCTTGGAACAGTTGACTTGTCTTTGCATGTGTTTGTGATGGGTGCCACCATTGGGGCAGGATATGCTCACCTTTTTCATGAACACTTGGTGTCATCTTTATTTGATAGTAAATCTTATACACACACTTATAATATGGCTTGAATCGTACAATGTCCTCTGCTTTTAGTAGAGATTTCTTATGATTATGGAAAGAGTTTTGCCACTTTTATTTGATATTTAATAATGACCACTAAGTCTTTAATCATTATCATAAGAGTTATAGCTCTGTGACGGTACAGAAGGTGAAGGCGGGTGAGGTTCCCTGACAGTGTATTCCACCTTGGTGTGATGCCCACGACCTACTTGCAGATGCAACCAAGAAGTCCGGGAAGAGGCTGGTTGGGGACGTGAGCTACAGCGAGGCGAAGGAGGTGGCGTCGTGGATCACGCCAGTCCCAGGGGGAGTGGGGCCGATGACCGTGGCCATGTTGCTGAAGAATACTGTGGACCAGGCAAGACGGGCCATGGAGAGAGCTGGGGTGAGTGGTGCAGCTCACAGACAGGGTGTAGGTGATCGTCTTGGACTTCAGATTGGTGAACACCAGGGCCCACTTGCACAATACGATCTTAGCGCTAAGACTATTGTAACCCTATGTTAAAGTATGGGAGTTAAGATCATCTTAGCGCTAAGATAGCTTTGTGCAAGTGGGCCCTGGACATGAACTGTCCTCTGTAGTAGACTGCAGCTGACATTTTGATGACTGCAGCTGAAATATTGATGCCAACAGCTGAGATATTGATGACTGCAGCTGAACTATTGATGACTGTAGCTGAAATATTGATGACAACAGCTGAGATATTGATGACTGCAGCTGAACTATTGATGACTGTAGCTAAAATATTGACGACAACAGGTGACATATTGATGACAACAGCTGAGATATTGACGACAACAGGTGACATATTGATGACAACAGCTGAGATATTGATGACAACAGGTGACATATTGATGACAACAGCTGAGATATTGATGACAACAGGTGACATATTGATGACAACAGCTGAGATATTGACGACAACAGGTGACATATTGATGACAACAGCTGAGATATTGATGACAACAGGTGACATATTGATGACAACAGCTGAGATATTGATGACAACAGGTGACATATTGATGACAACAGCTGAGATATTGACGACAACAGCTGAGATATTGATGACAACAGCTGAGATTTTGATGACAACACCTAAGGTATTGATGACATTAGTTGACATTGACAACATTTGAGATATTGATGATTGCAGTTGAGATCCATTAGGTGTGCCAGAAACGTGATCGTGGGTTCTAATTCGCGATTTGTCCTCATGTTTCTTGGCTTATCGGGGCCATACCCGTCATCAGTGGTTTCCCCATAGTGTTAAATGTCCCTACATGCTTTCCTCACACAAACCCATGATATTAACTGACATTCTGGTCTAAGTGGCGTTAAAGTAAACTCACTAACTCACTCCGCTTTCAGGGGGTCAACAAATGGAGCCTGACCTTGTTACCGCTGCAACTGAAGACCCCAGTGCCAAGGTGAGAAATGTAACACCCACAATAAATTAACAAGAAATCTATCGATGCGACGCATCAACTCGGCCGTAAACTCTTTGTATGTCAAATTATTTTTACAGTAGGATAATTAACCCAAAATATTTAATACACACAGGCATGTTTTAAACAATATGAACAATACTAGTTTCAATTCATTTCCTTTTTTTTTTCATCTTAAACCATGTTTTTGAATACTATGTGTTTACCTCCCTGATAATTAATTTGCTAAACAAAAGACAGTAAGAGCTAGCCCTGTAAATCCTGCATTAGTCTGGACTAGTACAAGCAGCCACACACAATGTATGCACATTGCTACATAAATGCAATAATCTTGAATGTGACGTTAATCCTCATTCCCCCTTGTCTCGGGGGCACGGGTGGCCCAGTCGTCTAAGGCGCCGCGATTCGCTGTGCAGAGTTGCGTCCCTTGGGCACGCCAGAAACCTATGATTTGGGTTCGAATCCCGGTTCGCCCCAATTATGTTTCTAGGTTTGTCAGCACCATACCCACGCTTGTGGGTTTCACCGAAGTGGTAAACGACTAAGACCTGCATCACTTTGGGCTTTCCTCCCACATTAAGCTGTCACGCCGTGATATAACTGAAATACTGTTAAAAGCGGCGTTAAACCAACTCACTCACTCCACCTTGTCTCCTCAGTGACATTGAAGTGGCCCAGTCACAGACACCACGGGACATTGCGGTCCTGGCAAAGGAGATAAATCTTCAACCTGAAGAGGTCGACCTGTACGGGAAGAAGAAGGCGAAGGTCTCCCTGCAGGTGCTAAAGAGATTGGCCAATCAGAAGGATGGACGCTATGTAGTGGTCACAGGGTGAGTTGACCAGTCGGTCTTGACCTTTTAAACTAAACAAGACAATGACAAGTGGTGATGTCTTGTTTAGTTTATAAGGTCAAGAATAGGTCAGAATCAACAGGTGGTTATACATGATCATGTAGTTTTTGTCTATCTTTCTCTGAAGCTCAAGTTTTAGTGAACTGGTTGATGCAGTTCAAACGTCTAAAATAACTCTTGAAAATGTTTAATCTCATTATTATAGGATCTTTAACTCTGATTCGATACCTGTCTCCGTCAACATCTGCCAATGCCTGCACAGGATGTCATATCAGGTCAAGTTTATAGTCAACCAGTCAGATTTGTGGTTCCTAGGCTTCTGTACAAATGAAAAGGGCAGTTCCCAATGGAGAAAAAAAAGGGCCGACGACAACTTGCGATGGGCAATGTTGGCAAAATTAAAGATACATGTATAGGGAGGACAAACCATTAGAAAAAGATGCCACCTGATTTGCTAGAAAAACCATGTGCCTACGTTCATATGTGCTCCCTCTGGATAAATGTCATTATGCTGTAGGATCACGCCCACACCACTGGGAGAGGGAAAGAGTACTACTGTCATCGGTCTGGCTCAAGCTATCGGAGCACAGCTCAAGAAGAATATCTTCGCCTGTGTCAGGCAGCCGTCTCAGGGCCCCACATTTGGCATCAAAGGTAGCGGGAATATTGCGACATGATTACCTCTGTATGCTACCAACAAGGGTTGCCATGTTAGAATAATAACTTTCCATCATCAGCTCTTGTGATTTATTAAACTGATTCATCTGAAGCAAATGATGCTAGATTGCTTTGTTGTGGAGAACAGTAGTGTCATTTATTGTCACTCCCCCACGAGACTGAGTTCCAAAAATGGTACCGTAAATTTATTTTTTTGAGAGTTATGGCCCTTGCTCCATGCTTTTCAACTTTGTGCACACTGCGTAAAAATGGGGACAAGTTTTCTCAGAAACTACTGAAGTTACATGCATGATAGTTTTGCATGCTGAGGCTTTAAAAAATAAAAGAATTGGTTCTCAGGCAATGGCTTTTGAAAATTTAGTGCAGGCGGGCGGTGTTTTTTTTTGTTATTCAAACTAGTATGTAACCAAATAAAATCGGTTGTGTAAGCATAGAAACAGTTGTGTACAATCAACCTGGGAAAGGGCCTCCATACATAAATGTATTCCTTGATGAGTATAACACTGGAATACAGTATTTGACTACCATTGAGTTTGGAATATTTATGGACTTTTTTGGGCTTTTCTCCTACATCAAGCTGACATGCTGTAATATAACTGGAATACTGTTAAAAGCAGTATTAAGTCCAACTCACTCACTCACTCACTCACTCAACGTGCTGTGAGAGCGTGAATGGTCTCAAATCTATATCACTGGCATGATGTCAACTGGAAATGAGATTCAATCTCCTTGGAGTCTGATCTGTTACCCCACTGCCTCTCTCAATGTGGATATGACAAACTCCATGGTAGGTTGCGGCAAGTGAACTTACTAATCTGTAGAGCTGAGTATGACCTGTTATCTTGCAATATGATTTGTATCACGATACGGACTGAAGATACTACTGGTATCACGATAGGTCAAATGGGAAGAAATGATGAAATCACTGAAATACCGCTGTAAAACTTCTTTCTTCATGCATTTATTTATTATACCCCCGACAAAATGTCGGGGGTATATAGTAATACCAAGGTTCCGTCCGTCTGTCCGTTCGTCCGTCCGTCCGTCCGAAAACTTTGTCTGCGCGATTTCTCTTAAACTATTCAGGGGATTCATCTCAAACTTAGTAATATAATCTGTGTCATATGGAGGGTTGCAGTCCAAAGAAGAAAATTGTTTTTATTAATTTTCCATTTTTTTATGAATTTTTCAAACCCTAGGCTAACCCTATCCTAGCTATTTAATTTGTAACTACTGACACACTAGGCGGGTCGGGGTATTAGTGAGCCACGCTCACTTTTGCACTTGTTGTTATCTCAAATTACATTAAGTAATACGTTACCACTGTTATACCGAGGCTGTTGTCTCCCACAACTGCTGCTATAGCGAAATCTACCACAGAGATCTCAATTACCTCATGCAGCACGTGCGTAGCCACCTAGCTGCCATGTGACACCCTTCACTCTTGTCTCCTTCGTCTGCTTAGCAAGACGTGTTTTCTCCTGCTGAAGCGTTCCTTGAAGATTTGAAAACAATCAATGTCTGACATGGATATGTCCCCTGTCTCCACCCCCTCTACCCCTGCTCCTCGGAGTTGTGGGGTGTGCAGAAAGTTTTTGTCGTCCCGGGATCCCCACGATCGTTGCCCGCGGTGCAGGGTTCCTTGCGAGGAAACCCGGTGCACCCTGTGCGAAGGTCTGGGACCTGCGGAGTTTGAGCGGTACCGGCTGTGCGCGCAGTCCGTTTCCACCCCTGTGGTGGCCGGTTCGTCCGGTCGGGGCCCCCGTGCGGGCACCTCCTTGTCGGCTGCGGCGGATCCCCTTGCGGCCCTCGGGCTGTCTGGGGCTTCCGTCGCCGCATTGTTGTCGCAAATTGTGGACTCCAAGCTGGCGGCCTTATCGCAAGATAGGCCGCTGGCTGTTCCGTCCCCGGCCTCTTCGGTGGCCGCGGGTTCGGACGCGGGGTCCACCGGTACGGCGCCGGCTGCCGTGGTTACCGGTCCTTCCCCCGAACCGTTGCTTCCGCTATCGGTTAAGGACCGCGTGGCCATGGTGTATGACCTCTTCGAGGACATGCCAAAGCCCCTGCCGATACCGCTGGGTATCCACGGTTCCGTGGGTTCCTCCGAGGTATACGACGAGTCGTCCGACAAGGCTTTCCCGGCATCAACCTTGCTGCGCGGGATTAAGCCGTCTTTGGAGAAAGCCTTCACGGCTGCCTCCGGTCGGGGTCTCCCGTTACCTCCCCCGTCGTGGAGAAAAGGGTCTTTCCCAGTTCATGACCTTGCCTTTCCCGAGGCTGGTCCTTCTGCGGAAGCCCATGTGGAGCGTTTGGGGGTCCGTGCCCCACCGGTTGCCACGGTACCGCAAGGTACCCTGCAACAGCTGGACACCCTCGCTCGACACTCCATGCTGGCTATGTCTCACGGAGACACATACCTGGCTGCGGCGGCCAGTCTGGTCGAAGGTTCTCCCACGGACCGTGACCAGCGCATTTACAACTGCTTGCTCGGTTTGAATGCTTCCCTGGAGTACGTTGCCGGGGCTTCGGCCTTTGTTTCCGGCACGTGCCATTTTCTTCGGCGCCAGTCGTATCTGGTTGCTTCAGGGTTGGACGCTGCCAATCAGGAGGTGCTCCTTTCGCAGCCTTGGTCTGCTCGGACCCTGTTTAATAACAAGATCCCTGGGGTTCTGAAGGAACAACAGGCCGCTGTGTCTGCCGAGGCCTCTCGGCACACACTGGATCTTGTGGGGTCCTTGCATAGGCGCCTGGGTGCCGCTCCGAAGCGGAGCGCGCCCCAGGTTGCTGCGTCCGGCAGGCCTAAGGGGTCGGGTCCTTCTTCCTCCGGGAAGAAGCCCCGCTCTGAGGGCTCCGGTAAGGGTTCTCAGCAGCCCTTTCGCGGGAAGAAGGGGAACTGGGGGAAGCCCAAGTCGTCTAAGGACGGCAAGGGCCCCTCCAGGTGACTCTCATTGGAGGGGTTCGTATGCCGACAGCGCCAACTTCGGTTGGCCCGTAGGCGAACCCGAGTCACACGGCCCTGGACAGTTGCGCCTGCCGCAGCCCGTCCGGCCCCCCTCTCTTTCCCCAGTGGGAGCCAGACTCCAGACTTACTGGGAGAATTGGGAACAAGTGTTCGACGACCCGTGGGTGGTCAACACGATTCGGTACGGCTATCGGCTCGATCTCAAAGCGAATCCGCCGCTCACCGTTGCCCCGTCGGCAGGTTTCTATTCGGAAACCGATCTTCCCTTCCTCGCCGATGCCATCGGCAGGTTGGTGGAGAAGAGGGCAGTTCGGGAGTTAGCTCTACCAGAAATAACACCGGGGTTTTACTCCAGGATATTTCTCGTTCCCAAGAAGGACAGTGCCGAACTCAGAATGATTCACAACTTGAAATCGTTCAACGAGTTCTACCTGCGCAAGCCGCCCAAGTTCAGAATGTTGAGCTTGACGGACCTGAAAGCACTGATCATGCCGGCCGACTGGCTAGCTTCGATCGACCTGAAGGATGCTTATCTGCATGTTCCGATTCACTCGGATCATCACAGGTATCTCAGGTTTGTCTTTCAAGGCAGGCACTACGAGTGGGTTGTACTCCTATTCGGTCTTTCGTCCGCTCCCTGGCTGTTCACCCGGTTAACCACCCCCATAGTGGGGTTCCTCCACCGGAGGGGTGTCCGGTACTTCGCGTACCTGGACGACTCGCTAGTAGCAAATCGAATGTCGGACACCCTGTCACGCCATCTCGTTTTCGCACGTCGGCTCTTGGAGCAATTGGGGTGGATTGTCAATCTCCCCAAGAGCGAGTTAACCCCTTCTCAGAACTTGCAGTTCATCGGAGGTCGGTTCAACTCGGTGTCCCATCGCCTATTTGTCCCCCCAGACCGGTGGCACAAAATTCAGGCGATGATTGCCAAAGTCTTAGCGGTGCAACAGACTGTTCACTTTTGGGAACAGCTGTTAGGGCTACTTGTATCAGCCCAGGACTGCACCGTACGGGGTCGTCTCCAACTCCGCCCGCTGCAACGGTTTTTAATCCAGTTGTTAGCAACGGAGGTGAACAGTGCGACCGTCGCCCTCCCGGATCGGCTCCGACCGCATCTGGAGTGGTGGACGGTCCCTTACAATGTCTTATCAGGAGTCTCTATGCGGCCCTACCGGGCCACGTTGAACCTGTATACAGACGCCTCTCTAGTGGGCTGGGGCGCCCATCTAGAGGGGGAGGTGAGCTCGGGGCTGTGGTGCGTAGACGAACTAGGTCTTCACATCAATTGTCTCGAGTTCAAGGCAGTGATCAACGCAGTCAATCACTGGAAGCATCGTCTCGTCGACGCCCGGCTCATGCTGGCGACCGACAACACGACGGTAGTGTCCTATGTGAACAAATTGGGGGGAACCCACAGTCACTCGCTGCTCGTTCTCACGTTCGAGTTTTACGCTCTGGTGGACAGTGTCCCGTGCCAGATACGCGCCCGTCACATCCCAGGTGTGCGGAACGTACTGGCCGATGCTCTATCGAGGCCTCGGGATCCGAGCCCCACAGAGTGGATGCTGAACCCAGTAGTGTTTCAGTGGCTGTGCGAACGTTTGGGTCGTCCGATGGTCGACCTGTTCGCAACGCGGTTCAACAATCAACTCCCGTTGTTTGTATCACCAGTCCCGGACCCGAGGGCCATCGATCACGATGCTCTCGCGTTAGACTGGACGGGCTTGGACGCTTATGCTTACCCGCCGACAGCGTTGATACCACACATTCTAAGCCGGCTTTGAGGAGTTCGCTGTCGAATGTTACTGATCGCGCCCATGTGGCCGAACAGATCGTGGTACCCCGACTTGCTGACCCAGGTCACGCAGTCGCCACTCCCACTGCCTGTGAGACCGGATCTCTTGATCCACCCTCACACCCGTCAGCTTCATCCAAACGCAGGGCAGTTCAATCTGCACGCGTGGATGTTGTCACCGAGCGTCTGAGGAGTAAAGGTTTTTCTCGCCGGGCGTCTCGGGCATACGTTAGTATGCATCGTGATTCTACCCAGAAGGTGTATAATGCACGTTGGGTTATTTTCACGAAGTGGTGTTGTAAACATCACATTCATTCGCCAGATACGGTATCTGTGCAGGATATTGCTCGTTTCATGTCTCACTTGCGAGAGACCCGGAAACTCTCCGGGGGTTCCATTGCCAACTATGTCTCGTCCGTTGCTACGGTACGGGACGTTGCTATGGGTACCAGTCTCTCCAAAGAGCCGGTGATACGGGGTATTATCAAGGGTTTCAAACAGCACGATCTTAAGAAGGGCCACCTTCGGGCACCGGCCTGGGATCTTTCCCTAGTGTTGCAATCACTTACGGAAGCTCCGTATGAACCCTTGCATAGTGCTTCGTTCCGGCATGTGACTTGGAAAACAGCATTTCTCCTCTCCTTTGCCACGGCGGCACGTGTATCCGAAATTCATGCACTCGATGTCGCCAAGGTACGATTCGATAGGGGTGACGAAGGAGCGGTCCGCCTGGGCCTGCTCATGGGCTTCGTCGCCAAGAATCAGAGAGTCGGGCAAGCGGAGAGAGAATTCACTGTAAGATCACTCAAAGAAATCTTACATCCTGCTGATACTGAGGACAGAGCGCTGTGTCCGGTTAGGGCCCTTAAGTATTATCTTAAGGCTTCGAATGAACGTAGACAAGGGCGTGACCGTCTGTTCATATCGTGTAACCCTAATCGCACGGTTGACATAACTCGCAACTCGATTGCGTTGTGGCTTCGTTCTGTCATCAATCTGGCGTACCGGTCTCGGGGGTTACCGGTAGCGGGGTCAAACCCGCACGAGATCAGGGCGCTAGCGGCAACATTTGCCCTACACTCGAATATCTCTGTTCACAGAATATTACGAGGTTGTTACTGGCGTTCTGACTCGGTTTTTGCCAATCATTACCTCAGAAAGGTTTCTGATGAAGACGTGGAGGGGGTGCACCGTCTTGGGCCGCTGATCGCGGCACAAGCGGTCATCTAGGGGGTGTGTCCAGCGCAATTTCAAACTCCGCAGTCGTCAGTCCTTGCACGGTGGTCAAGCTGGGTCGTCTCCAATGTTCCCACGCCGTGGGTACAGGAGTGGGGGTCCTGCAAACCAGCGCACTCACACCACAGGTGAGGCGGCTTTATGTGAGTTTTGTCCTTACTTGTATTTTGACAATTATGCATTTAATTGTCTGTCGTGTATTCCAACCTTGCGATACATGCTTACGAATACTGGAATTAGGTCACGCGCCTAATGCATACTTTCAGTAGGCTTGCTCTGGGATATACGGTCTGAAGGAAATTAATTTCCCTCTTTTCGACTGTTTAACCTGATCTAAGATTTAGCTCACGCGGATACAGTGTTCTCATCCGCTGCGGCGATGAAATACCTATCCAGTGGGGCCGTTTGGAGTCACCAATTGTTTTGGCAATGATGATTGAGCCTTACGGTATGCGCATGACAGTGCTTTGGTATTCCTATAGGGTAACGCCTAGCTAGGTGCATGCGCATCGAGTGCTTCCGCCTTGGTGTTTACTTCCGCTGGTCGGAAGGAACGCTAGCAGTCAGGATTCGGGTTGTAGGTGCTCCCCACCGCCTACTGTGGTAGTCAGCCTCGGTATAACAGTGGTAACGTATTACTTAATGTAATTTGTAGAATTTTCCTATTCGGAATATTCTATAAGTAATACGTTACCACTGGGCTGCTGCCCGCCCGTCCGTCCCCCGAGCACTTGCTCTCGCAGAAGACAAGAGTGAAGGGTGTCACATGGCAGCTAGGTGGCTACGCACGTGCTGCATGAGGTAATTGAGATCTCTGTGGTAGATTTCGCTATAGCAGCAGTTGTGGGAGACAACAGCCTCGGTATAACAGTGGTAACGTATTACTTATAGAATATTCCGAATAGGAAAATTCTACAAAACCTTTAACAAAGAAAACCACAAGAACAGAACAGTTTTAAATGAAGGGATGTTTATTAAATGTACGTGAGTCCTCAAGTGCTTGTGTTCTGCCATGCATACAGGTGGCACAAGGCTACTTCTGCTATAAGGGGGGTAACTCTATTAGTTCCTGTTGTGTTACAGCATATCGTGAGATCTCACAAATTGACGATTCAAGTATCGTCTGTAGCTAAGTATCGATATCGTAGGTATCAGTGAATTGTTACAGCCCTACCAATCAGCATATCATCAAGGCTTTTTAATTATCAGTAGAAGCAGGCAGAGCATTCAACATATTCAAAGCGGCAAGTCTTACTCATGTATCTGCAGTGTGACATTGACCTTCACTGAGGTTTCTAAAGTTACTGGCGCCGCGATTCGCTGTGCAGAGTTGCGTCCCTTGGGCACGCCAGAGACCTATGATTGTGGGTTCGAATCCCGGTTCGCCCCAATTATGTTTCTAGGTTTGTCAGCACCATACCCGTGCTCGTGGGTTTCACCGAAGTGGTAAACTTCTGAGACCTGCATCACTTCGGGCTTTCCTCCAACATTAAGCTGACACGCCGCGATATGACTGGAATACTGTTAAAAGCGGCGTTAAACCTAACTCACTCACTCACTCACTCACTCTAAAGTTACTTCCTTCAGTGGGAATACATTTCAGACTTCCATTATTTAAAGAATGACCTTACATGATAAAGAGCTAATTACACTTTTTTCCATATAGTGAATATCATATACCATATTTGACCTAATAAGCGCCCAGGGCGCTCTCAAAATTAGAAATAGAGGACTCCTATAAGAATATTATTTTGGAAAAAAAACAGAATTGAAAGATTTCGTGGTTTATGCTGACAGCCTGAAATGTTTATATACGACAGATATATTTTCCAGAATGTAATTGCCCGTAATTAAGGGTGTATATAACACACGAGTGCGTATTATACACGAATAAATAAGTCATGTGTACATTGATCAATCAGAAGGGGTGCTAATTGGGATTGTTCACTAGCCAATATATTAGCAAATATCGCCGTGGGTGCTTATTAGAGCGGGGCGCTTATTACATCGAATACGGTACATGTATTGGATAAAAAATATGATTATGCTCTCCACAGGCTAAAATAACAACACGTTTATTCCTATTATATGATACTGCAAAATGGCAACACTGTTGGCTAGTAATCTTTATGTATTAAAGATTATGAACCGATTATTTCTACCTCCAGGTGGCGCTGCTGGGGGCGGGTATTCCCAGGTGATCCCCATGGAGGAGTTCAACCTCCACCTGACGGGGGACATACACGCCATCACCGCTGCAAACAACCTCACCGCCGCTGCCATCGAGGCGCGCATGTTCCACGAGAGTACCCAGAAGGACGAGGCCCTGTACAAGAGGCTGGTTCCCACCAAGGGAGGCAAGCGAGCCTTCTGTAAGATACAGTTGAAGAGGATACAGGTAATTTCACCACAGTCATAAAATGGCCACAAAATCATAGTAGCTCCCATACTTCAACATTGACTGACAAAAGACACTCTGGTTTTGTTGAAACATTTGGCAAGAGGACAATTTCATGCTTTTATTAACTTTTGGCGGGACCTTCTTCTATATGGGGCGGAGGGGTAGACCAGTGGTTAGAGCGCCACGCCAGGCCCCGGGTTTCGATTCCTGATGTGTAGAATTTGTGAAGACCTCATCTGGTGTCCCCTGCTGTGATGATGCAGGACTATTGCTAAAACGGCGTAAAACCATACTCACTCACCCCTTTCTTCTGCCTCCTTATTAGATATGACTGAGTGAGTGAGTTGGGTTTAACGCCGCTTTTAACAATATTCCAGTTATATCACGGCGTGTCAGCTTAATGTGGGAGGATAGCCTGAAGTGATGCAGGTCTCAGACGTTTACCACTTCGGTTAAACCCAAGAGCATGGGTATGGTGCTGACAAACCTAGAAACAACATCGGGGCGAACCGGGATTCGAACCCACAATCAGAGGTTTCTGGCGTGCCCAAGGGACGCAACTCTGCACAGCGAATCGCGGTGCCTTAGACGATTTGGCCACCCGTGCCCCCTACTTGATATGAAAACGATGTTCAGGACATTGTAAATGGTTGTCAGTGTTGTAGGAAATGAACCGATCTCAAACCTCAGCATCTAGTGATGAAATCGCTTTTTGAAATGGGGACCTACTCCAATTGTTAAAGTGTTTCTCCTTCAGGTGAAAACATAGTTTGATTCCACACAATGGTGTAATAAGAAGTCTTTTGTTGGTGTTCCTGCAGTGCTGTTGGCCTCACTCATGGATTGCAAGGAGTATTATGTGCATTGTTGGGGTTTAAGAAATGTTTTTGTTTTTCTTCAGAAACTTGGCATCACTAAGACCGATCCTAATGAACTGACGCCGGAAGAAATACGTCAGTTTGCTCGGCTCGACATCGACCCAGAAACAATAACATGGCAGAGAGGTGAGACCATGAAAGAAGAAAATATGATTTAACAACCGGACAAATGATTACTTTATATCACGTTGCTGTGTCAGCGCTTGACATGATTGCTATCGTGGGGAATCCAGGTTAGAAGTGTTTGTTGTACAGAGCGACTAAATGGACGGATTATTGAGGCTCGGTGACATGGTTGATTGGGGTCATCCCATCCTGAAGATCCGGGGTAGAATAGGTCTTCAGCAACCCATGCTTGTCGTAAAAGGTGACTATGCTTGTCGTAAGAGGCGACTAACGGGATCGGGTGGTCAGGCTCGCTGACTTGGATGCTCATGATATTAATCACTGGATTGTCTGGTCCAGACTCAATTATTTACAGACCGCCGTCATATAGCTAGAATTTGTGAGTGCCTCGTTAAACAAATAAGCAGCCAACCAACCATCCCGACAATGTGAATTGTTGCTCATAAAGTCAATCACTGGATTGTCCAAACTTGATTATTTACAGGTAGCTGTCATTTAGCTGTAATATATGCTGAGTGCGGCGTTAAACAACAAGCAAATCCCATGTTAAACCTGACTGTGTGTTTCAGTGATGGACACCAACGACAGGTTCCTGCGGAAGATCACAGTGGGACAAGGCCCTCAGGAGAAGGGGCACACCAGAGAGGTGAGACAATGACTTCATTCCTGCCATGTCAGAATGGCATTGCAGAACTCTTACTGAAAGGTGACAGCCATTTTGAGTTTTTAATAAACGTTCGTTTATGTTCAACAAATTTAGCATAAATGTTTTTCACATACTCTAATAATGAGAGTGTTAAGAAGATACAAAATGTATTTTGACCAACCAGGGTAATCCATTGTAATTTCTAAAAGCCAAAACTGATGCCCTAAATTAATTGTGAGTAAATAGCAGTGTGTGACTTGTTCACTTACAAGGAGGGATGCGCAGTGGGGCAGCAGAATGGTTAAAGCGTTTGTTAATCACACCGAAAGCAAGGTTCGATTCCCTATGTGGGTACAATGTGTGAAGCCCTTTTCTTGGCTCCCATGATACTGCTGGACTATTGCAGTGTAAAACTGCCACTCACTCACTCATTACAGGGGATGTCAGGCTCACTGACTTGGTTGATGCATGTCATCATATCCCAATAGTGTGGATCGGTGCTCATGATGTCAATCACTGGATTGTCTGGTCCAGACTCGATTTTTTACAGACCGCCATCATATTGCTTGGATATTGCTGAGTGCAGCGTTAAACAAACAAACAAACAAAAAATCAGGGAATGTGTTCTGTTGTAGACCCAGTTTGACATCACCGTGGCCAGTGAGATTATGGCCGTGCTTGCACTGACCACTAGCATGCAGAACATGAGAGAAAGGCTTGGCAACATGGTTGTCGCCACTAGTCGAGCAGGAGATCCGGTCACCGCCGATGACTTGGTAAAGTATAGCATGTGTTGCATCACTCCTAAACACTGATTGATACGAAAATTTGTTGTGCGATAATTGGTTTATTTATTTCTTTGATACGATATATGATCTGTCATTTTATTTATAGTTTGCTGGGGCACAGGTTGTCAAGCATTCTGGCCAAATTGCTTTGTAGAGTTATCTCCCTTAGTGATCAGGATCCACTGATTATGGGGTTGAATCCCAAGTTCACCCTGATTATGATCCATGGATTGTCAGCACCCTACCTTGCTCGTGTGTTTCACCAGTGTGTAAACAACGAAGACCTGCACATTAACTTGATCCATCGCTAAGTTGATATGACTGAAACAATATTCCAAGTGGTGTCAAAATCCTCATTCACAGTTTGTAACAAGGATACATGGAAATTCTTTGTTAGAATAGGTCCCCAGCAACATATGCTTGTTGTGACTACTGTATTGCCTGTATTAGAAGACTCTCAATACATGCCATGTCATATACTCTGTCCGAAAAATAAAAGCCAGGTTATTAATATTGACCATTTCCTGTAAAGATACCCTTTGTATGACTGTATATTTCGGGATCAGTAAGGTAGTGAGTTGCCACTGTGCCAGCATTAGACAGAATAGGTGCCATGTCTCTAATGGATGCAGACTGCTAGGTCCACCCATGTGTGAAATTTATTGATGGCCAGTATTTAATAGGGGAATTATGGTATGATGGTCAGACTTGGTGATTTGGTTGATTATTTGTCATCATACCCAAAAGACATGGAATATAGGTCTTCCAATCAGTCACTGGTTTGCCTGGTCTAGACTATATTTTTATCAGGCCATTACAAACAGCAAACAGCTAACAAAACAAAAATATCTTTCCTAAATTTGTGTGTCTTGATCTGGCTCTACTTAAGTTTGATAGTACCTTATTAAAACTGAAATGGTTTGGAAATAATGGCAATGCTGAGTAATAGGTGGCCTGTTTGATATGTAGGTGACCGCCTCCGTGGTCTAGTGGTAGAGCGTCCGCCCGGAGAACTGAAGGTCCGGGTGTCGATCCCCAGCCATGTCATATCAAAAGACATTAAAAGATGGTATTTGTTGTTACCCTGTCTGGCTCTTGGCAATAAGGGGCTAAAACAAGGACTGGTCGGCTCGGAGTCAGTATACTGTGTCTGAGTGGGGTATGCATGTTACACTGCGGTATGGTATCTCAGTGGGCTAGCACTATAAATCAGCATACACACGTGCATGACTTGACTATATAAGTGCAATAATCTCAACCCCATTTCACCCCAGCTGATATGAAGGTATTGTCAGTATCTGTGTTGATGCTTGCAGGGAGTGAGTGGGGCCCTGGCTGTATTGATGAAGGATGCCATTAGACCCAACCTCATGCAGACACTGGAGGTAAGATGATGTTGAGGCTCTGAATGGCTTTACCATGTTTTCCTCCAGTTATGAAAAAACGTTATCTGTTTATTTATCGTCATATTTTTTTTATTTCTTGGTTTATTGATTTTCTAACCCAAAATTTTGTGGAAACAAATTATCAATATTGTAAGAACAGGATCTTTTTGTCTCCTTTAATCATAAGAAGCTTCTAACTATCCAAGCTCTTATGAGACCCCTTCAAGATACATATATATTTTAATATTTCGCCTAATGACCTAATTGTTTGAAAAAATACTGTCAAACGATTAATTTAATCCATATTTGTAAAAACAAGAAATTACAATAAAATGTTTAGACTTATGCTGATGATTGTTTGTCAGTAATAGCATTTCAAATGACAAAATATGATAATGCAATCCTCCTGCTTGTAGGGCACCCCTGTGTTCGTACACGCTGGCCCATTTGCTAACATCGCCCATGGCAATTCCTCCATCCTGGCCGACAAGATCGCACTGAAACTGGTTGGGGAAGATGGCTTTGTAGGTACGTGGTGCAAACCTTTCCATTCTGATTCCTGTAGCAGAACAGCCGAGTTGGGATTGTAGTTCCGATCTGTTACCCGTTGACATGATTCTGTCATGCTGGGATATGTATCCCATACTTACTGCTCATCATAATGGCAACTTTGTGACAACTGTTATTTCAGAACAAGGGGGCACAGGTGGCCCAGTCGTCTAAGGTGGTGTGATTCGCTGTGCAGAGTTAAGTCTCTTGGGCACGCCAGAAACCTCTTATTGTGGGTTCGAATCCCGGTTCGCCCCGATTATGTTTCTAGGTTTGTCAGCACCATACCCGTGCTCGTGGGTTTCACCGAAGTGGTAAACGTCTGAGACCTGTATTACTTTGGGCTTTCCTCCCACATTAAGCTGACACGCCGTGATATAATTGGAATAATGTTAAAAGCGGCATTCAACCCAACTCACTCACTCACTATTTCAGAACAAGCTGAATGGCACTATGGTGAAACACCAAATCTGTCACTTGGGAATTTGTTTGTGTATACGATGCAGAATCAGCTGTCATGTGAGCTTGATTATTAGGTTTCCTGAAACAACAAGGATTGTGCTGTCAACCACATATTTGTCTGGTCCAAGAACTCTCACTGCATTGTTATTGCTGTGTCAACATTCTAGTATTGCGGTTGCAGTGACTGAGGCCGGGTTCGGCGCCGACATCGGTATGGAGAAGTTCTTCAACATCAAGTGCCGCTACTCTAGACTTGTCCCCAACGCTGTGGTCCTCGTGGCCACAATCCGGGCTCTGAAGATGCATGGCGGCGGGCCCACGGTGACCGCTGGCGTTACTCTGCCTAAAGCCTACATTGAGGAGGTGAGACTACACTAGACAGAAAAAGAGAGCGAAAGAATGCTCATGTTTTTCAAAATAGAAAGCACATTGAAATTTCTTTTTTGCCGTAGTTTTTTTTTGTTTCAGCATGGTATGAGTCTTGCAAATGGTATCGATGAAATGTCCTATATTAGGAGAAGAAATTGTATTTTATGAGCTCAGTGAGTGAGTGAGTGAGTTGGGTTTAACACCGCTTTTAACAGTATTCCAGTTACATCGTCAGCATGTGGGAGGAAAGCCCGAAGTGATGCAGGTCTCACACGCTTACCACTTAATTGAAACCCACAACACGGGTATGGTGCTGACAAACCTAGAAACATAATCGGGGCGAACTGGGATTCAAACCCACAATCATAAGTTTCTGGCGTGCCCAAGGGACGCAACTCTGCACAGCGAATTTGCGGCGCCTTAGACGCCCCCTTCTGTGAGCTCAAGGTGCCACTGATGTTATTTAGCGGTTGCATTTTGAAGTTTTATAACAATCAGACCATGGATAGTTTTGAGCAATCGTTTCATCCCTGAGCATTAATTCTTACCCTTGTCATACCTTGGCAGAGTAGGCCGTCAGTACTTCATAGTTTGTGCAGTGGTTCATCCTGCAGATGACATTCTTACCATGTCAGCTTGCTGACAGTCTTATTTGGTCATGTGGTGAAGGTGTCCATCCTCAGATGAGAAGGTCCATGGTTCGAATCTCATCAGCCGATACACTTACAAACGTTTTTGTTAGACTCTACAAAGATGAGAATGTGATGGATCACGATGTGTGGGCTGGGGTTCATTCCACGAAGCGATCACAGAGCTATGACGGACGTAAGTCAGTGTTAAAGTATTGGAGCTACGATCACCATAGTGCTACGATCGCTTTGTGGAACAGAACCTAGGCTGATTGTCTACATGTTGTCTGCAGGTCACTGCAGTACTGCCTTTGTTTCTTTTGTCCATGGCAATGTATGTATCATACAATGTACTTGTTTTCAGAACTTGGAGTTGCTGGAGAAAGGCTGCAGCAACTTGAAGAAGCAGATAGAAAATGCCAACAAGTTTGGCGTCCCTGTGGTTGTTGCCGTCAACGCCATGACGTAAGTTGTCCGGCAGTACCAAGATGACCTGTGTCAATCCAGAAGGATTGCTGGTTTAATGCACAATATCTTAACACTGGGAGGGGTTGTGATTGTTGATTTGTTTCCCTGTATAATACTGAGTTTATTTATATTTAATCTTGAAATCTGATGTATACTAGCAGAAAAAAGTAACTACTTCATATAAAGCTGTGTAAATATTTTGTTACTAACATAATTTTGGTCATTCATCTGAGTAATGTTTAATCACAACAATTTTCTTGACAAAACCCATACCTGGTAACAGGAGACCGAGCAACACACCCTAAAAGAGGGACGGTGTGGCAACTCAATTAACAATGTCAGTATCAGATGTGACCACCATTTTCATTGATACGAGTAGAGCAGTGGTGGTACATTGAAGACACCAGATGATTGAAAACAGCCTGTGGGATGTTGTTCCAAATTTCAGCCAAAGTTTGGCTCAACTAAACTAGCATTACCGGCTGGTTCTGATCCTGTTGTTTGTGTCGTTCCATCTCATCCCAGACATGTTCTATCGGACTGTACAGCAATAGTATGCTACCCACTTGCAACACTTGAAACACGTGGGTGGGAATTATTCTGCTGCATTGTGATGTTACATCCCTACATTTGCTCAAAGGGTAGAACATGGTCTGGAACAATGACCATTTGGTAGAATACGTCATTCAAATTGACATTAACAACGATTTGTTGTGTTCTGCCATGAGTTTGGATGCCACCCTATACCATTACACTTCAAACCCAGACTGATGACATTGAGTCACACAAGCGTCGCTAAAATGTTCTCCTGGATGCCTGTAGACCCTTGCGCGACCATCAGAGCTGTCCAGGTGAAACCTGGAGTCTTCTATCAACAGTATACAGTCCCAGTAGTGTCTTCTGAATCTTAGATGCTGTGTACACCAAGCTAGGCATGCCTGAAGGTGACGTTTAGGTAACATTGGGCATATCACTTGACATTGGGGCCAGATGTTGTGATCCCTCTACCGGTTGCATACGGTTCCGCCACCAACTGGTATTAACCCAGGAATTGTCCAAACTGTTAATGTGGCAGTTTTGAATCGATTCCACAGATGCACCAACGGAATGTGATTGTCTTGTTGAAGTGACGTGACATGCAGACAACAGCCGTGGCAAGTCATGAGTGTTGCCCTGCTGTAGATAATGTCTCCAAAGAGATATTTTTGTGTTTAGATGAAAATTATAATGTCTAGCATCTTCATTTTGCACCATCCCCATTTGCAGCATACCCATGGCACGTAGAAGTTAAATATTTCTTACAAAACTTTGCATGTCTACCAGGTACATACTGAACTGGTGCCTTTTGATATTTAGCACTTTTAGAAATTTCTATTTTTTACGTTTCCATGGCAACAAGTTGGACTTAGAAAAGGGTAGGGTTCGATTCCGGTTGGACTTAGAAAAGGGTAGGGTTTGATTCCGGATGAAATTTTCCACATCTATCAGACACATGCTGAATTGTTGCCTTTTGCTTTTTATGAATTTTATAAATTTGTATTACTGGGCACTATTTCCAGAAATATTTCCTTGCCAAACATTGCATGTCTATATATAAAGCAGATACTGAACAGAACTGGTGCCATTTGATATTAAGGAGTTTTAGAGATGTTTATTTTAGAATTTCCATTGCAGCTATTTTGACATGGGCTAAGAGAAATGTTGGGTCAGTTACCTCGTTTGGGACCATAACGTGTTAAAATGGGCGGGGGATATAGATGACTTCGTCCACTATAAGCTTGTTCTGATTTCTCTGATTTCTTTGATAACTCAACAGTATGTGAAAATATGTAAACAGAATATATTACTGTCACTTCTGACATACAGGACTGACACTCCAGCTGAGCTTGACCTGGTCAAGAGGAAGTCAGTGGAAGATGGAGCCTTCGATGCCGTCATCTGTCAACACTGGGCCAAGGGAGGACTCGGAGCTGCTGACCTTGCCGCCGCAGTGGATCGAGCCACACTGCAGCCGAGCCAGTTCAAGTTCCTCTACGATGTCACGGTAGGTCCCACCCTGATCTAGTTTCTCTGTGATGTCATGGTGACCCGTGAAGATCCGGGGTAGAACAGGTCTTCAGCAACCCATGCTTGCTGTAACAGGCGACTATGCTTGTCGTAAGAGGCGACTAACGGGATCAGGTGGTCAGGCTTGCTTGGTTGATGCATGTCATCGTATCCCAATTGCATGGATTGAAGCTCATGATGTCAATCACTGGATTGTCTGGTCCAGACTTGATTATTTACAGACCGCCCTCATATAGCTGGAATATTGCTGAATGCGGCGTTCAACAACAAACAAACTAATGTCATGGTAGATACCACCTTGTTCAAGGATCACAAATTGATACCAGCAGATGCTCTTAAAGCAACAAAATCGACCTTGATACTTCACGCAGGAATTTTTTTTTTGTGTTACAAGGAAAATGAACTCCAGTGATCTTCAAGGAACAAAAGGAATTTCATGTGAACAACTTCAGTTAACATCCCTTATTTTTGCCAAATTTTATGAAAACTTCTGTCTTATTTTGTAGCTGCCAATTGAGGAAAAGATCGAAACCATCGCCCGCGAGATCTACGGAGCAGACGGTATTGAGATTCTGCCTGAAGCCAAGACACAGATTGAGAGATACAAGAAACAGGTATAGTGGAGTACCTGGCACTGAACAGTTATCAGTTACACGTGCTGTTCTAGAAAACACTTCGCACACAAAAAAAATCTTGAAATAAGCCATTGTTAGACAAATAAATAAACATCAGGTCAACATGGCTGCATTATAAACGAAATCTGTGTCAATCAAGCAAGAGGGGCGGTCGGGTAGCCTAGTGGTTGAAGCATTTGCTTGTCATGCCCACATCTGTGTCAGTCAAGCAAGAGGGGCGGTCGGGTAGCCTAGTGGTTGAAGCGTTTGCTCGTCATACGCACATGCGTGTTAATCAAGCAAGAGGGGCTGTCGGGTAGCCTAGTGGTTGAAGCACTTGCTCGTCATACCCACATCCTTGTCAATCAAGCAAGAGGGGCTGTTGGGTAGCCTAGTGGTTGAAGCATTTGCTCGTCATGCCCACATCTGTGTCAGTCAAGCAAGAGGGGCTGTCGGGTAGCCTAGTGGTTGAAGCATTTGCTCGTCATGCCTACATCTGTGTCAATCAAGCAAGAGGGGCGGTCGGGTAGCCTAGTGGTTGAAGCAATTGCTCGTCATGCCCACATCTGTGTCAGTCAAGCAAGAGGGGCGGTCAGGTAGCCTAGTGGTTGAAGCAATTGCTCGTCATTCCCACATCCCTGTCAATCAAGCAAGAGGGGCTGTCGGGTAGCCTAGTGGTTGAAGCACTTGCTCGTCATTCCCACATCCCTGTCAATCAAGCAAGAGGGGCGGTCGGGTAGCCTAGTGGTTGAAGCAATTGCTCATCATGCCCACATCCGTGTCAATCAAGCAAGAGGGGCGGATGGGTAGCCTAGTGGTTGAAGCATTTGCTCGTCATACCCACATCTGTGTCAGTCAAGCAAGAGGGGCGGTCGGGTAGCCTAGTGGTTGAAGCATTTGCTCGTCATACCCACATCTGTGTCAGTCAAGCAAGAGGGGCTGTCGGGTAGCCTAGTGGTTGAAGCATTTGCTCGTCATACCCACATCCGTGTCAATCAAGCAAGAGGGGCTGTCGGGTAGCCTAGTGGTTGAAGCAATTGCTCGTCATGACCACATCCGTGTCAATCAAGCAAGAGGGGCTGTCGGGTAGCCTAGTGGTTGAAGCATTTGCTAGTCATACCCACATCCGTGTCAATCAAGCAAGAGGGGCTGTCGGGTAGCCTAGTGGTTGAAGCAATTGCTCGTCATACCCACATCTGTGTCAGTCAAGCAAGAGGGGTGGTCGGGTAGCCTAGTGGTTGAAGCACTTGCTCGTCACACCCACATCCTTGTCAATCAAGCAAGAGGGGCTGTCGGGTAGCCTAGTGGTTGAAGCACTTGCTTGTCATACCCACATCTGTGTCAGTCAAGCAAGAGGGGCTGTCGGGTAGCCTAGTGGTTGAAGCAGTTGCTCGTCATGCCCACATCTGTGTCAGTCAAGCAAGAGGGGCTGTCGGGTAGCCTAGTGGTTGAAGCAGTTGCTCGTCATGCCCACATCTGTGTCAGTCAAGCAAGAGGGGCTGTCGGGTAGCCTAGTGGTTGAAGCAATTGCTCGTCATGCCCACATTCGTGTCAATCAAGCAAGAGGGGCTGTCGGGTAGCCTAGTGGTTGAAGCATTTGCTCGTCATGCCCACATCCGTGTCAATCAAGCAAGAGGGGCTGTCGGGTAGCCTAGTGGTTGAAGCAATTGCTCGTCATACCCACATCTGTGTCAATCAAGCAAGACATAGTCCTCTACTGAAGATGTTTTATGTCTGTATGCTTCTAATAATATTACATTACATTTCTGGAGATATTGATGTTTTCCATACAATAATTGACCATGTTGATTGTATTTCACCCATCATTGTGTTTAGCAGTGGTTATAGATCAATTTACAAATATAATCAGTTAATTTTAATTGTATGTTTTCAATTTTCTAATTGCTCAAAGCTTCTCACTCTACATGTTATGGATAATTGCACTGTACCAAAAAGATATTTTTACAAACAAAATATTTTCCTGTGTGGTTTGAAGTTGTCTGACAAAATGGTGGATTTCGCATTGATTTGAACGTTTCGTTATGCTGTTTGAAAGACTGGTTGTGATAGGTTATTTGACAAGTGTTTTGTAAAAATAAAAATGTTATCACCTAATATTTGTTCCCAGTAACTCGGTGATGGGAATATTTATGGAGTCAAGAATGAGACCAAGACTTGATGCACCATAATTGTATGTCATAGAGTTACTTCCCTTCCTATGTGGATCAATTTTTGGTGATAATTGTTTACAGTCAGGAAGCAATAGAGTTTTCTTAATAGGCATCATTCTTTGATGGCATCACATCACAAGATGTTATTATGTCTAAGAATCTGTTGCTGAGACCGTCCAATACAACAGGCATTTCCTTCCAGGGGTTCAACGACCTTCCCATCTGTATGGCCAAGACCCACCTGTCCCTCTCCCACAATGCCGAGCTGAAGGGAGCCCCGACCGGGTTCACACTTCCCATCCGAGAGGCAAGAGCCAGCATAGGAGCTGGGTTCATCTACCCACTTGTGGGGACTGTAAGTGTTGTCATGACAACGAATAGTAAAATTGTAGTTTTCAAATTTAGAAGATAAGACATGAATATCAATTTGATCCAAGATGCCCGAATTGGTATGCAAAGTTGCGTCCCTTGATCGTGACAGGATCTGCTAATCGTTTAGGATTCACTGCAGTGGTAAGTGTCTACAACATTGGTCAGTTTAGGCTTTGCTCCTACATTAAGCTGACATGGCTGTGCTGTGATGTAACGGTGATGCTCTTGAAGATGGCCATTTCATGAACCATAGGACATTACAAAGTTGACTCTGTTGATTGTGTTTTGCATTATATAATGATGTTTTATCTTGAATGCAGCGTTAAATCCCATTTCACCCCACCTAATCATGTTCTACTGCTGATGTGTGCATGACCGTTATACCATTGTTATGTATTAGGTAATGTGTTACTGTAGGTCTTCCAGCCTTGAAGCATGATTTGATGACTACCTTTAAATACACCATTAATCCACACACAAACCCTTGCTGTCTCTTTGTTTGATAAATGATTGTAAATCTTTTCAGGTATTTCACATGATTGTTTTTTCCACAAATTATCTGTCCTTGACCCCGGGTTTTCACTGGGATGAAGGTCAAATACAAGATCACATCAAGGGAATCTAGTACTGTGTATTTGCCGAACAGAAATCTAAGGGCTGCAGAAGAATGAACATTTATTTATGTAACCTTTGACATTATTTGCCTACTACGGGGGCGGTCGGGTAGCCTAGTGGTTAAAGCGTTAGCTCGTCACACCGAAGACCCGGGTTCGATTCCCGACATGAGTACAATGTATGAAGCCCCATTCTGGTGTCCTCCGCAGTGATATTGCTGGAATATTGCTAAAAGCGGCATAAAACCAAACTCACTCACTCACTCACTTACTTGCCTACTCATATTAAGTCCAAAGAGAATGCTAACTGTTTGCCGTGTGGGGATTCATGGCAGAGTAAGTCCCTGGTTCTCGATTGCTTGTTGAACCAGCTGGTTACAAGGTGTAACCTGACTGATTGGGTGTTGTGTGCTCGAGCTATCACTCACTGGTCTACCTTGCTCATACTTGATTATTTACACGCTGCTGGGATATTGCTGCTCAATTCATGAAACATTTACTTATCACTTGGTCTATGAAAACATAGGGGGAAATTGTTTTCTTGACTAAAAAATTGTTCTATTTTTTCAGATGAGCACAATGCCGGGGCTGCCAACCAGACCATGTTTCTTCGACATTGACATCGACCCCGAAACTGAGGAGATCGTAGGACTCTCCTAACGGTTCAGACAACCTGTGTACATAGTCATTGGTTGTAACAATTTTAGAAGTATTATAGGAGGTTGAAATGACATGAATGGAATTGCTAGATGTCTGTGAAAGTTTTATCTATGCCAGTGCCTGTCAGTTAAACAGACTTTATAATTAGTATAAATGGTCGATTAATAAGAGCTTGATTAAGCAACCCAGATTTACGCCCCTTAACGCCATTTCAGTAATGTCAGTGTCTCAACTTTATGTGGGAGGAAAGCCCAAAGAGATGCATGTCTTAGATGTTTACCGGGGCGGTCGGGTGGGAGTGGTTAAAGCGTTCGCTCGTCACGCCGAAGACTCGGGTTCGATTCCCGACATGGGTACAATGTGTGAAGCCCATTTCTGGTGTTCCCCCGCTGTGATAGTGCTGAAATATTGATAAAAGCGGCGTAAAAACCATACTCACTCACTCACTTAGAGGTTTTCCACTTTGTTGGAATCCACAAGCATGGGTATGGTGCTCAAACACTCAACACTCATGAAATTAATGGACCCAATGCCCCTGTGAAGATCTTCAGCGACCCATGCTTGTCATAAGAGGCGACTAACAGGATCGGGTGGTCAGGCTCGCTGACTTGGTTGATGCATGTCATCATATCCCATTTGTGTAAATCGATGCTCATGATGTCAATCACTGGATTGTCTGGTCCAGACTCGTCTATTTTCAAATGCGTATAACTTCATTTATGGCCTAATGTAATCAAGGTACCTGCTTGAGAATTTTATAATTTGTATTATTGTAAATCATGCTTATTAGAGCCATAGTTATAGTTATACCTTTTTGTTGCATTTGTGTGTTCATGAACTAAAGACCAAAATGTCTTTCTCTTGTACAAAATATACAATTAATGACTGTCAGAAGATACGACGTTCCTGGCATGAAATGAGATTTGAGTTTGATGTTTTGACAGTTGTTTAGTGACATAGAAATAACCTTAAAATTTGTTTTCAAGTTAAAACTAATCAAAATGAGAATCTCTTGCATTAGATTTGAAAATATATAACTGTATATCCCGTGGAAGTCAGTATTTGATAATAAATGTTCACAAATGTAATGGAGTATGCTGCTCGAACCACTTTTAAATGCTGCTTGGTTCATGTTATGATGTCATTAAAGTCAGATCTTACCGCGAGTGTCATAGGGTGTCTGTTCCTGGAGAGAAATTGTTCCTTTTTGCTATATTTCTCCAGGGGAATTAATCCCCATGGAACAGATTTTACAATAAAAATGTTTCCACAATACAATTACGCTGGTAATATTTGTTCAGATGGGGATTCCACGTAAGACTGATCATCCTTGACTCTAGATACTGCTACACAAGATGTTTAATGGTAGCAAGCACTAAGATCTGATTTTATTGGATTGGTGCTGTTGGTGCTCAATGAATACTGCTTTTATATTTGATCATATCTTTCGTGTGTTGAAGATTTTTTAACTGCTGTTTCCCAGGAGCGCTCCAAAGCTCATGGTGACGAGCTCTCACGCTTCATGGATAGCTAGTTGTGTTGGAGTCAGGGTTGAATACATTGCTAAAAGTGATGTAAATCAATCGCTGATTCATGCATGGATGTTGGAGTTGGATTGTTATGAATTGTACGAATATTGTTTGAGATTCAAATTGATTTGTTATATGTTGTTGTTTTCTATTCAGATGTTATCTGTACATTTGATGACACTGTTTAAGAGAATTTAATGTTTGAAATCATTGACTTCCCAAATCATTGTTTTCCATGTGTTGTGCTACTGGTGACATTCATATTCGGACATGATCGTAATGTTAATCCTGGTATAAGAGGTTCGAAAATGCAAGATTCACTACAGTTAATGAATCTTATCAGTCATCCACTTGTGTGATGTGCAAGATGGGAACGTGAAGATTTAACACAACAAACCACTGTTTTAGAAAGTATATTTTCAGAAAACACTCTATATACCCTGGGAAATGTTCATGAATAATAATAATATTTCCGTGTAACAGCATGATTTCATTGATCTCTAACACATGACATGTACATATATAGAGGCGGATCCAGAGACAATTCCCCCCCCCCCCTAACCCAGAGGATCTTGGATAATTAGGACCCCTCCCTCTTAAACATGCTGGATCCGCCCCTGCACATACCACTGGAAGGTGATAAATCATTCCAAGAAATGTATAGTGGCAACTCCATATTTGGTGTTGCTCTAGGTGTATGGGACAAGGTTTTGTGTCATTAAGCTTTTATTGTGTGGAAGATTTGGTGCAATCTCCTGTTGAGTTGAGTCACAATCAAAACCTTACCAAGCTGTGTACAACATGTGCTTCAACTTACCAAGCATTTTATCAACATCATTGTTCAGTTGTGGAAACAGGTTCAGAGATGGGTCTGGAACAGAATGGTGTTAAGGATTTGATTATGTTTATGTTCAGTGCCTGTACTCAAGAATGATTGAGGTTTTCGTAATAAATGAAGAATATTCCATTGTATGTGTTTGTTTTCTATAGTATGCCATACTTGTAGATTGGAAGGATTGTGGGCACGTGGCTATTAACCTTGATGACCCAATCTCAGTGTCACTGTGGGGATGTCACTTTGTCTGTTTCCCCAGCCACATGGCATCGTCCTCGGATCACATTGCTGAACACACTCTGATCTTGATTGAATCTCTGTTTGGAGGACGTCCTCAATTAAATGATGGAACCTCAATATAGAGAACATCCACAATAATTGACTGAACCTCAGTATGGAGGGCATCCACAATAATTGACTGAACCTCAGTATAGAGGACATCCACAATAATTGACAGAACCTCAGTATAGAGGACATCCACAATGAACTGACAGAACCTCAGTATAGAAGACATCCACAATGACTGACAGAACCTCAGTATAGAGGACATCCACAATGAACTGACAGAACCTCAATATAGAGGACATCCACAATGAACCGACAGAACCTCAATATAGAGGACATCCACAATGAAGTGACAGAACCTCAATATAGAGGACATCCACAATGAACCGACAGAACCTCAATATAGAGGACATCCACAATGAACTGACAGAACCTCAGTATAGAGGACATCCACAATGACTGACAGAACCTCAGTATATAGGGCATCCACAATAATTGACTGAACCTCAGTATAGAGGACATCCACAATAATTGACAGAACCTCAGTATAGAGGACATCCACAATGAACTGACAGAACCTCAATATAGAGGACTTCCACAATGAACCGACAGAACCTCAATATAGAGGACATCCACAATAAAGTGACAGAACCTCAATATAGAGGACATCCACAATGAACCGATGGAACCTCAGTACAGAGGACATCCACAATGAACTGAAGGAACCTCAATATAGAGGACATCCACAATGAACTGACAGAACCTCAGTATAGAGGACATCCACAATGAACTGACTGAACCTCAATATAGAGGACATCCACAATGAACTGACAGAACCTCAGTATAGAGGACATCCACAATGAACTGACAGAACCTCAGTATAGAGGACATCCACAATGAACTGACAGAACCTCAGTATATAGAACATCCACAATGAACTAACGGAACTTCAATATAGAGAACATCCACAATGATTGACAGAACCTCAGTATAGAGGACATCCACAATAATTGACAGAACCTCAATATAGAGGACATCCACAATAATTGACAGAACCTCAATATAGAGGACATCCACAATAATTGACAGAACCTCAATATAGAGGACATCCACAATGAACTAATGGAACCTCAGTAAACAGGACATTAACAATGAACTGATTAAACCTCAGAATAGAGGGATTTAACAATAATGTGCCACCCTCAAAAAAAGGACTGCCAAACACTCTCCTCACTGCAAATCACTCTCCTCACTGCCAAACACTCTCCTCACTACCAAACATTCTCCTCAGCCAAACATTCTCCTCACAGCCAAACATTCTCCTCACTGCCAAACACTCTCCTCACTACCAAACCCTCTCCTCACTACCAAACATTCTCCAGTCAAACATTCTCCTCACAGCCAAACATTCTCCTCACTGCCAAACCCTCTCCTCACTACCAAACATTCTCCACAGTCAAACATTCTCCTCACAGCCAAACACTCTCCTCACAGCCAAACATTCTCCTCACTACCAAACATTCTCCACAGTCAAACATTCTCCTCACTACCAAACATTCTCCACAGTCAAACATTCTCCTCACAGCCAAACACTCTCCTCACAGCCAAACATTCTCCTCACTACCAAACATTCTCCACAGTCAAACATTCTCCTCACAGCCAAACACTCTCCTCACAGCCAAACATTCTCCTCACTACCAAACATTCTCCACAGTCAAACATTCTCCTCACTACCAAACATTCTCCACAGTCAAACATTCTCCTCACAGCCAAACACTCTCCTCACAGCCAAACATTCTCCTCACTACCAAACATTCTCCACAGTCAAACATTCTCCTCACTACCAAACATTCTCCACAGTCAAACACTCTCCTCACAGCCAAACACTCTCCTCACAGCCAAACATTCTCCTCACTACCAAACATTCTCCACAGTCAAACATTCTCCTCACTGCCATACACTCTGGACTCCCATATTTATTGTCTCAAAGTACCCCCTGACAAGACCCGTGAAGATCCGGGGTAGAATACATATAGGTTTTCAGTAACCCATGCTTGCCGTAAAAGGCGACTATGCTTGTTGTAAAAGGCTACTAACGGGGTCGGGTGGTCAGGCTTGCTGATTGCATGGATCGATGCTCATCGATGTCAGTCACTGGATTGTCTGCTCCCGACACGATTATTTACAGACCGCCTTCATATAGCTGGTATATTGCTGAGTGCGGCGTTAAACAACAAAAACAAAAACAACAACAACCTACAGACCAAGAAAATAGCTTTGTGTCTTTCCTTGACGAAGTTATTGACACTTGGGGCATGATAACAGGCAGCAGGAGGCTGCAACAATGTTGTGAATGGTTAACTGACTTTTGTGCACATGTCAATGTTGGGAATATACAAAAAGTGTCTCCCGCCTCATTTGTTAAGAAAAGTTGAATGAACATGTCAAAAGTAACTTATAGTGGCCTGATATTGCTGCTTCCTTGCTTCTACAGTATTATATCACCATTATTTGGTTTTAGCCTAATTTACATTACATGATGCTAAAAATACCCAACCAATCAATTACACTCATGAACAAGAGAAATTCTGTCCTAAGTTGGTGATAAGAGATTCAGATGGTTTACATCACATCCGAAACAAACTACGGCGGCAAATTGGTCCAGAGAATTTTTCACAATAGAATGAGGATAAAATACACTGGAAAATCAAGGATGACACCGTAGCAGATGAGGTGAAGTTCCTGAGAGTACAAGAAACATGGAGGAATTGCGGTTCACGAGCAGATCCAGACTCCAAGTCATGCATGTTTGAGAGCTTCTTTCTTGCTCAAGGGAGACAACTTGTCCTTGTTTGACTTGACGAAAGTCTTGACAGCAGTAGCGTTTGTCCTGAAGTAGTTACGGAGAGACCAGCCTACTGCCTTCCTGATGAAAAAGTCCTCTTCATCCGCACACATCAGACAGTATCTGTGAAAGGGGAACAATGATGACAGGGTAACAATAATCAACATCTTTTGTTGACATAATCGGGGATTGAACCACTGACATTCTCTCTGGGTAGACGCTCTTTCCACTACACTACGGAGGCAGTCTTGAACCACAGGTATTATTAGGGGTTATGATAATTGATATTTAATGTACAGCTACAAATTCCTGTACCTGAGTAGAAATTCCAATTGGTGACAGGATTACAGTGAGTGAGTGAGTGAGTTGGGTTTTACGCCGCTTTTAACAGTATTCCAGTTATATCGCGGCGTGTCAGCTTAATGTGGGAGGAAAGCCCGAAGTGATGCAGGTCTCAGACGTTTACCACTTCGGTGAAACCCACGAGCACGGGTATGGTGCTGACAAACCTAGAAACATAATCGGGGCGAACCGGGATTCGAACCCACAATCATAGGTTTCTGGCATGCCCAAGGGACGCAACTCTGCACAGCGAATCGCGGCGCCTTAGACGACTGGGCCACTCGTGCCCCCTTACAGGATTACAAATAGTTTGAGTACTTCGCATGCTGTAGAATGGATTAACGGCTTGTGGTCAGAAATGTTGAATATTGTTTCTGTCTGATGTTTGATGATAAATCCTGACTTTCTACAAGTCAGCTGATGAAAACAAAACACCATGTGGCACTATTGTCTACAAACCAAGAACCTTCAAATAGCACAGACATAATCTGAGTCCATCTTGTATTTGTTGGATCACATACCGTAATTTCTGAGTATAGTGCGCACCCATGTATAATGCGCACCCCCCTCTAGCGGGTTCAATATTTTGGAAAAAAAGAAATTTGGATATTATGCGCAGAAAAAAATTACACCGTACCCTTTCAGCGAAGTCCGGCAAACGAACGGGTGATGAGAAACTTTGTCAGTACAAATTAGAAATTTGAGATAAAAAATCACCAGACATGTTTATTTAACGTTTAAATAGTATTTATTGTTCTGCTAGGCATTGTTTTATATCCAGGGATTAAGATTACCTTGTGTATTTTCTCGTAAACTAAGCCGGAAACAGCAATCAGCTGTACACACGTTTTCTTGGAATCGACCGGTGATTCGGTCAAGACACACCCAATGATATAACTTTATAGGATTTTTAATGCAAGGATCGGCACCCCTATTTTCATCACATAATCCACGACGTAAAAGTTAAGGACAACCCATTTCTTTCATATTACTGCCATGTCATGACAGACTAGCTACAGTAATGTGAAAGAATCAGGTGAAGATTAACTGCTCTTTAGTAGGATGTGAAAAAAAATAAAACAAATACACATTTTTTTCTGAAAAAATGTCACCACCTGTCTCAAAACTAAAACAATAAACAAAACAAATATGACTTAATTTTTGTAGTTTGCTGTGATACAAAGTCATCATGAGTTCTGTCTTTACAGAAATGCGGACATTCAACACACATAGAGTGCTCAAATATCAAAGATACTTAAGTTGAGGTAATTTCATGTTCTTTCCTTCTTCTGACTTCCATCTTGGGCAGAAACACTACAGGCCTAAGGAACTGAAGTAAGCCTTGTTTCTCAGACTCCACTGACTTCTGCCATCATAATGCTCACCGGCGTTCTGGAACATCTTGGGTGTGTCGGACCTATGATAGTGGTTCCAATCCAAGATTGGCCCTGATAATGTTTCTGGTTTGTTTAGCACCTTTCTCATACTTGTCGGTTTCATCAAAATGGAGGGGGCACGGGTGACCCAGTCGTCTAAGGCAACGCGATTCGCTATGCAGAGTTGCGTCCCTTGGGCACGCCAGAAACCTATGATTATGGGTTCGAATCCTGGTTTGCCCCGATTATGTTTCTAGGTTTGTCAGCACCATACCCGTGGTCGTGGGTTTCACTGAAGTGGTTAACGTCTGAGACCTGCATCACTTCGGGCTTTCCTCCCACCTTAAGCTGACATGCCGTGATATAACTGGAATACTGTTAAAAGAGGCATTAAACCCAACTCACTCACTCATCAAAATGGTAAACATCTAAGACCTGCATCACTTTGGGCTTTCCATACACATCAAGCAATGTGTGAAGCCAATTTTAGGTGTCCCCACCATCATATTGCTGGAATATTGCTAAAAGTTGTGTAAATGCATACTCACTCACCACGTTCACACTGTGATAACTGAATCCTGTTCAAAGCAGCGATAAACCTCACTCACTCACACAGCTCTTGCTTGTTTGTCTCAGAATGAAATCGTTAAAATGGAGAATTGTGAAATATTTACTTGAAGAGGAGTTGCTGGTTTGTTTTCTGCTTGTAGTTGAGCTGATGAAGAATGGCAGTCCGTCTCAGCCACAGGTGCTCGTCCTGGATCCACTCGTCCATGATCAGGGTGAAGGCCGTCCGGTGAGCTGCCACCAGGTCACCAACCACTTCAGTAACAAGAGGCATCACATCAAATACACTCAAGCACAAAACTACATGGGATCATGTCCTTATGGGACATATTGTAGATGTTTGGAAGCTCAGAACTCCTCGCTGATGTTTACCTGGGATGAAGATGGACCCAAGAGACTTTCTAAAAATTGAAAAAAATAATTAAAATGAAATTTCTCAATATTTTAATTTTTTTCAATAAAATTAATACAAAAGTAAAAATTTAAAATTTGCATTTTTGTGTTCTTTACTCAAATTATTGTGCTTTTTTATTAGTATTTTCAGTCTCGATTACAGATGTATGCAGTTTGAAAGGGAATAAACTCTGAGGTGGGATTTTCTCTTTGACCCGAATACGTATTAATCAGTTCCGAGCCGCCTTGATCTGATTTTGACCAGTGATTGTTGTGTATACAGTTTAATGACTGATCGATCTGTTAAAGCCATATTTTCCACATCATCATGATTGTTATTATTTTTCAGTAGCTTGTAAATTCATAAATCACTGTTACTTTGTGTTGAGTATATAAACCTTCTTATGGCTGTACATGTACTGTACCATTAAAGAATCATTAGAAAGCCATAGGCAAAAACATCTAGGCCATCTCAACTTATTTGGTATTTACAGTGACCTTGCTGATTATGTGCCCTCACTGTGATGATATAGTAATTTGATCACCACATAACAGGCTACTGTAGCTATTGCTGCATATCCTCGACCATCTAAGGAGGCACAGGGGGCCAGTCGTCACAATTCGCATTTCGCTTTTCGCTCTACAGAGTTGCATCCCTTGGACATGCCAAAAACCTATGATTGTGGGTTCGAATCCCAGTTCACCCTAACTATGTTTCTGAGATTCACTGTGCAGAGTTGCGTCCCTTGGGCACACCAGAAACCTATGATTGTGGGTTCGAATCCCGGTTTGCCCCAGTTATGTTTCTAGGTTTGTCAGCACCATACCCGTGCTCGTGGGTTTCACCGAAATGGTAAACGTCTGAGACCTGCATCACTATGGGCTTTCCTCCCACATTAAGCTGACACGCCACGATATAACTGGAATACTGTTCAAAAACAGTGTCAAACCCAACTCACTCACTCACTTGACCACCTAAATACCTGATCCCGCTGCATGATTCCAGAGGAGAGTAGGTACCCATTACCCCTTGCTTGTTGTAAGAGTAATGAGTGAGTGAGTGAGTTGGGTTTAACTCCGCTTTTAAACAATATTCCAATTATATCGAGGCATGTCAGCTTAATGTTGGAGGAAAGCCCGAAGTGATGCAGGTCTCAGACGTTTACCACTTCCATGAAACCCATGAGCACGGGTATGGTGCTGACAAACCTAGAAACATAATTGAGGCGAACCGGGATTCGAACCCACAATCATAGGTTTCTGGCGTGCCCAAGGGACGCAACTCTGCACAGCGAATTGTGGCACCTTTGATGACTGGACCATCTGTGCCCCCTGTAAGAGTAATGAGGATTGGATGGCTAAAGTATGTGGATTGTGTGGCCTTGATATGCTGACTGGTGCCCAACATTGACTCATATAGGAGACACCGATACTGTTTTTTAAATGTAGAACACGGTCACCTGTAGATTTCACAGCATTCAACTGAATTTGGAACCAAATGTGCTACATGAGATGCGATGACTGAGAAAGTATTTTTCTGTGAATACTGTAAACTTATGGAGCCGTCAGGAAACAGCAGTGGAGTTTACTTTTATTCAGGTATTGATCGACATGAATTCAGCTACTGTCAGCCATGTCTCTCCAGGAGAGGACTCACGAGCACTGCCGGTGTAACAAAGAATAGGTCCCAATGGAATAGTTTTACTGGTCAGTCTGTTCACAAATACTAGCTTCTGCTTTGATGCCAATGTCAAATCAGCAGTTTCTATCAGAGGTGATTATAGTGATTTGAAACCTCTGACAGACAAATCAGTATTTTCCAAATTCATGGTAGAATATACAAAATTCACCATTTCAGGTAATTATAACACATACAAATTTAAGATGAGTGCCTATATACAAAAATGGTGTTCCACTGACGATTGTGAAAGGAGTCAAGATTGCTGAGCAAATGAATGTATGTATTAATCTGACACTACCTTTAGAGGCCAGCATGTCAACTGTGTCCCACCAGCTCTTGGTAGTGATAAGTTCCTTGACCACCATGAGGGACTCAAGGCTGTCCTTCTCGCTGTGCCCACTCAGCACTTTCCTGTACTTGTACATACAGTCCAGGGCAAACAGCTGGTACTCCCGCTCGGGTTCCTCCCACAGGAGCCTCAGGAGTTGGTGGAGCTGGACCTGGTTGAACTCGGAGCAGGAAGACAAGGCCTGGAGACAGAGGGACAGAGTGCTGTAATCAGGAGGGTCAACACTACAGAGCCTGGTGACAGAGGGACAGAGTGCTGTAGTCAGGAGAGTCAACACTACAGGGCCTGGTGACAGAGGGACAGAGTGCTGTAGTCAGGAGAGTCAACACTACAGAGCCTGGTGACAGAGGGACAGAGTGCTGTAGAAAGGAGAGTCAACACTACAGAGCCTGGTGACAGAGGGACAGAGTGCTGTAGTCAGGAGAGTCAACACTACAGAGCCTGGTGACAGAGGGACAGAGTGCTGTAGTCAGGAGAGTCAACACTACAGAGCCTGGTGACAGAGGGACAGAGTGCTGTAGTCAGGAGAGTCAACACTACAGAGCCTGGTTACAGAGTGCTGTAGTCAGGAGAGTCAACACTACAGAGCCTGGTGACAGAGGGACAGAGTGCTGTAGTCAGGAGAGTCAACACTACAGGGCCTGGTGACAGAGGGACAGAGTGCTGTAGTCAGGAGAGTCAACACTACAGAGCCTGGTGACAGAGGGACAGAGTGCTGTAGTCAGGAGAGTTAACACTACAGGGCCTGGAGGCAGAGGAGTCAGGAGTGGCCACACTACAGGGCCTGGAGACAGAGGGACAGAGTGTTGTAGTCAGGAGTGTCAACACTACAGAGCCTGGTGACAGAGGGACAGAGTGCTGTAGTCAGGAGAGTTAACACTACAGGGCCTGGAGGCAGAGGAGTCAGGAGCGGCCACACTACTGGGCCTGGAGACAGAGGGACAGAGTGCTGTAGTCAGGAGAGTCAACACTACAGAGCCTGGAGATGAAGGGACAGAGTGCTGTAGTCAGAAGAGTCAAGACTACAGGGCCTGGAGACAGAGAGACAGAGTGCTGTAGTCAGGAGAGTCAACACTACAGGGCCTGGAGACAGAGGAACAGAGTGCTGTAGTCAGGAGTGTCAACACTACAGGGCCTGGAGACAGAGGGACATAGTGCTGTAGTCAGGAGAGTCAACACTACAGGGCCTGGAGGCAGAGGGACAGAGTGCTGTAGTCAGGAGAGTCAACACTACAGGGCCTGGAGACAGAGGGACAGACTGCTGTAGTCAGGAGAGTCAACACTACAGGGCCTGGAGACGGAGGGACAGAGTGCTGTAGTCAGGAGTGTCAACACTACAGGGCCTGGAGGCAGAGGGACAGAGTGCTGTAGTCAGGAGAGTCAACACTACAGGGCCTGGAGACAGAGGGACAGAGATCTGTAGTCAGGAGAGTCAACACTACAGGGCCTGGAGACAGAGGGACAGAGATCTGTAGTCAGGAGTGTCAACACTACAGGGCCTGGAGACAGAGGGACAGAGTGCTGTAGTCAGGAGAGTCAACACTACAGGGCCTGGAGACAGAGGGACAGAGTGCTGCAGTCAGGAGAGTCAGGCCTGGTGGCAGAGTGTTGAACACTTCGGGGCAACCCATTAGCCAGTAGCCATCACTGAACACTTCGGGGCAACCCACTAGCCAGCAGTGACAACATCAAGCAACACATAAATATCTTCCTAATTGTGAAACCCTCAAACTAACATTTACCTTACCTTACACCAAGTCTGTGGCACCATGCCGACTATGGGGATCATCCTCAGCCTGTTTGTCTGTTATTCAGGCTCAGTGATGTAGTCATCGTACACAGAGAGGGAAGTTACTGATATTATCTCGCACTGGCGTGTCTGTCCCAGACACTGTTATTCATAGATCGCTACAATATATCTGGAATATTGCTGACATCTACTCACTCATTCACAGTGCCACTATGTATCTCTAAGGCCTACTCTACTCTTGAATTGAAGTTATAAGTAATACAAGTCTTGCCCCCTGATGGTAGAAAATCTGCATTTTGTTTGTCTAAAGTTAAACATACCTCTGAGCTGAGCTCCTTTCTCTGTGGAGTCCACAGACCTATATAGGCAAACTGATCTCTCATGTATTTTTTCATTCTTTTTGCTTCAATTTCATTCTTCTGTGTATTGAATTTTCCCCTGAGTTCGACAATAATCATTTGTGGTGTGAGAGGAGAAAGCACTGCCTGTGTGCTTTCCTGGAATGTCTTCTTTCCTCCATTCTCCCTGGCAGGCCGAGCTTTGAGGGACTTGACCACATCAGCTGTCTTCTTTAGGGCAGATCTGGATACTTTCGGCATGTTTGGATATTCTGAAGAAAACAACCTTTTTTGAAATTTTTTTTTTTAGAAAATTTGTGTGAAATTTTTTTAGAATGTTTGTGAAAAAAAAAAATATTATCGAGCAAAATGATTATATACATAGACAAAATGTTCTTTGGTGCTCATAACAAATTACATTTGAAATTAAGAGTGATCTCACCAATTCAAATTATTTGCTTTTTTATGTATTGTTATAAGAATAACAATTAAGCAAGTAACAAGTGTTGAACTATGTCTCACTGTATATTTTTTTTCAAGAAGGCTTCTCATCATAAATTTGATAAGAAGGGAATACAGAATTCCCAATCTCATTAAAATCAGACCTATGTCCTCACTACAGCTAAACGTAGCAAGAACTTAGATCTGATTTTATGAGATTGACAGAATTCCTTAATAAAATGAATTATTTTAATTCATCCAAATTTTTTCCCCATATGTTTTCTATGCCATGTCTATAGTTAAAAAACACAAAATGATTAAATGTTGAAAAACAACTGTTCTTCATCACGAGACTTCATGTCGTGAGGCTCGAACCGTCCACCTCCAAATACATATTTTGAACGTTAAGAGTCATGATTGGGTTACCTCCCTTACAATGACTGATCTTTAACTAGTCATTGTCTTGGCGCCCTCTCTCCACAATATAAATATACTGTGATGACTGACGAATGCTTCATGTGTCAGCGTTAAAGTATGTACTAACTTCTCACTAGGTGTCACTTCAGTACAAGGGTACACCCAGTCCTAAACCTATTGGGTCACTGAGATGTATTAAACTAGAACAACAGCATCAAAACATTAGCTTTAGAATGGCACTATCCATATAGGTTAAACATGATAGGTCCATAGTCAGACTTGAACTTACTCCGAACAAGATGGGTATATTTCGCGCCTGTGTTGACCCCGAAGATGTCGCTAAATGAGACCGCTTGACCGGCCTTGTCCTACTTACCCGGCTGGGGGGAAGTAAGCCGGGGAACGCTCGGCGCTCCACAACCACGAGCTTTATTCCACTTCCCCGGGTCATCCAGACAGCTACACAGTATTTTGAGTCCTGAAATCAGAGAAAACCCCCGATCTTATCAACTCTTGGGGACACACGTTGAAGCTACAATTAGATGTATCCACCACATACTAGCTTACTAGCTGGGAGTGAGTGAGTGAATATGGTTTTACGCCGCTTTTAGCAATATTCCAGCAATATCACGGCGGGGGACACCAGAAATTGGCTTCACACATTGTACCCATGCCGGGAATCGAACCCGGGTCTTCGGCGTAACGAGCGAACACTTTAACCACTAGGCTACCCGATCGCCCCTACTAGCTAGGAAATAAAACTAACAACATCCAATGTCAACTTTGCTATACTACTCAAAAGAAGATAAAGCATGCACCCGATGTATATGTTTTTGTGTGTTTGTTGTTTAACGCCTCACTCAGCAATGTTCCAGCTCTATAACGGCGGTCTGAAAATCTGGACCAGACAATCCAGTGACTGACAATATGAGCATCGATCTACTTTACTGAGATACGATGACACGCATCCACCAAGTCAGCGAGCCTGACCACGTTAGTCGCCTCTTACGACAAGCATTTGTTGCTTAAGACCAAAAACATCATATAACACGTTCTTGGATATGCATAAGTTCTTGGCATCCTTGATAGTCTTAGCCAATATTTTATAACTTTTACTTGTGCAAATATATTTCATGGATACCTACTGCATTTACAATATACAACTGCATTTGACGTATTTTTCTTAACACCCAACTATATTTTCCATGTCTATGAATCTATTCTATCGATGTAAACTCCTTACCTCATTCCCATTAAAGAATTGGAATCATTTTTGTGTTAAAGATTTTTAAGGACACCTTGAAGTTTACGCTGTTCATAAATTGTTTTGGCTGTGCGATAATGAAAGTATTAAATAGCTTCCCTCGTTTTATTTGTGTACAGATTGTTCAAACAAATATGGTTGAATGAGTGAGTGAGTTGTTCTTTACTCTTTGAACAGTGTTTCAGTAATACAACGGCGTGTCAGCTTCATGCTGGAGGAAAGCCCGAAGGGTCATGCAGGTCCTAGACGTTGACCACTTCGGTGAAACCCAAGGTCACGGGTATAATGTAGACTAACATCTAGTCTCTGAAATGAACATATCGTAAAGAAAAAAAACAGTTGTTCAGTTATCTTAATAAAAATGTAATAAAAGGGAGCCCAGTGACTCTTCATTTTCAGATACTGCATTAATCTAGACTTGCCAAACATTATAGACTTGCATGGGCTGTATTTGATATATGCTGGTATTTGTTTCAGGTTCTGTAAGACAGACTAGGGTATAATGCTGACAAACCTAGAATAATAATCAGAATTTAGCATTCGGACCATAGGATTCAAACACGCCTAAGGGAGGCAACTCTGCACAGAGAATTGGGGCGCCTTTTAAGACGAATGGGCCACACTTGCTCCCAACTTTATATTTCTTCAATAGAAAGCGATAAGTTAGCAAAATGTCTGCTAAGAAATGCCTTCAACATTATTGCCAAATGGGTTTAAGGATTGATGTCTAGATACCCACAACAGAAAATATTGCTACGTTTGTGCAGGAATATTTCCGTAGGTAGTGACAGCAAGATTAGGGTGGTAGGTATTGTTTCCATTGAGGAGTCAGTTCAGACCTACCGCATGGGGCATGGCGGCGGGACGCGTTCACTTCTTAAAAACACAGACCAGTGATTGCGTGTGTGTCTGTGTGTACTAGTTCCATTTTTTAACGTCTTTTAGTGAGTGATTTGGTTTTAACGCCGCTTTTAACAGTATTCCAGTCATATCGCGGCGTGTCAGCTTAATGTGGGAGGATAGGTTTCTGGCATGCCCAAGGGACGCAACTCTGCACAGCGAATCGCGGCGCCTTAGACGACTGGGCCACCCGTGCCCCCTTAACGTCTTTTAGGTATGACGCAGCCGGGGACAGAACCACCGAACCTCTCCGAACGGACGCTCTTTCCACTAGACCCCAGTCTTATTATTTTACCATACATATTAAGTCGAACCTCGTTGTGTCGAACTTGGATGTGTCGAATTCCCAGGTATCCAAATTGAGCCTAAACTTCCCCTGATATCTCAAATCCCAGACAACTTGAACTTTCCCCAGGTCCCCCAGAGTTCGACACAAGATGGTTGGACTTACCATGAAATACTGAAATCTTAAATTAGACATGTCTATATTCGACAATTTATCCTGATTCTGTTGGCTTTGCGAGGCAATGTTATGTCCCCTCTGTCCATGACCCGGCGTAGCCTTGCTCCGGGGTATAACTGAAAGAAAAATCCATGGATGTGTAGTAATTCTATCCTCCTAATAGGCAAGTCTAGATATGTGGACAGAAGAGTCTCTTATAGAGACAATTTGTTCTAATTATTTACAAAATCTATAACTAATGATTTAAATTAATAATTATTGCCTTAGAGACGTGTGCAAGTCTAGTGCCGGCGCTGAAACACCCATTACTAGGCATAATGTAGCTTGAGTGGCCCAACATCGGATGTAAGTGAATTTCTGCTTGATGTAGTATACGTTAATCCTTTAGTTGGCTTAGGACGAAATGGAGCGTTCAGAAATGGCCTCAGCTAATGGCCCTTATAATCCGCCATTGCAGGTGAGGAACGATATGGTGACGCTGGGTGCCGAGATTTCCTGCAAATCGCAGACACAAAGACACCAATGGCGTCACGTTGTCTGGCACTGTCCAAACACATTGACCGCTCGCATGATGGACGACGTGTCTGTTTACAAATCTGATCCTGATTGGCTTTGTTCTTGTAAACTGTAATTATTGCAGCCCTAGTTAATACCAATGAGTACCTTGTTATTGATAAATACGAGACCAGGCCTTGGGGGCGTCGTCCTCTGCTGAGATGATCCCGATACATTCTTGTAGTGACAAAGGGTAGGGGTGTAAGGTAATGCCATGTATTTGTTGCAGTACTGTGATGGTTACGACTAAACGAGCGGTTCTTGTACATTTTCAACAGTAGGGGCCGTACATGATGTCGTAGCAGCAGACGTAGGCACCGTGGTCGTAGTTGTTGTAGAAGTAACAGTAGTAGCAGTAGGAGTATATGATGTAGTAGTAGTAGTAGTAGTAGTAGTAGTAGTAGTAGTAGTAGTAGTAGCAGTAGGAGTATCTGATGTAGTAGTGTTAGATGCTACTTCAGGAGAGTAGTTGCAGTAGCCGTAGATGTTGTTTCGGGAGTAGTATTATCTGTTGAAGAGGCTGCTTCCTGGGTAGTTGTAGCAGTAGAGGTTGCTTCAGGAGTAGTTGTAGCAGTAGAAGTTGCTTCAGGAGTAGTTGTAGCAGTAGATGTTGCTTCAGGAGTAGTTGTAGCAGTAGAAGTTGCTTCAGGAGTAGTTGTAGCAGTAGAGGCTGCTGCAGGAGTAGTTTTCGCAGTAGAAGTTGCTTCAGGAGTAGTTGTAGCAGTGGATGAGGGCTTATGAGTAGCAGTGAGTTTGGTTTAACGCTGCTTTGAACAGTAATCCATTTATATCACGGCGTGACAGCTTAATGTAAGAGGAATGTAAGTCCGAAGTGTTGCAGGTCTGATATGTTTACAGTTTTGGTGAAACTCACGAGCACAGGTATGGTACTGGCAAACCTAATTTACAATCGGTGCGATTCAGATTATATGTGTGTCAATGATAGCATTGGCTACTGCCTTTTTACTTTAATTTATAAGTTATTTAAGACTAATGATTTAACACTTCTTACCAACATTTTTAATGAGGCCACACTGAGAAAAGCTTCCAGGACAATTGAGACTGATTTTAGTTTTATACCCTTTGCTGCTCTTTGTAGCAATCTCAACCGCCTCCGTGGTCTAATGGTAGAGCGTCCGCCCGGAGAGCGGGAGATTCGGGGTTCGATCCCCGGCCGCGTCATACCAAAAGACGTTAAAAGATGGTACTTGTTGTTGCCCTGCCTGGCGCTCGGCATTAAGGGGTTAAAACAAGGACTGGTCGGTTCAGAGTCAGTATACTGTGTCTGAGTAGGGTATTCATGTTAAATTGTGGCATGGTATCTCAGTGTGCTAGCACTATAAAATTAGTTCGAACTAGTACAAGAAGCCACACACATACACGTGCATGCACGTCGCAATATAAGTGCAAAATCTTTGACGCTTAGTTTACCTCATTTTACCTCACCTCACTAGCGGCGGCAGCAGCAGCTAAATTAGCTGTGATACGTACATGTAGTCGTAGTTTTCTTTGGATGGTTTGTTCTTTAACGCCGCAATCAGCAATAAACTAGCATTATGACGGCGGTCTGTGAATAATCGAGTCTGGACCAGACAATCCCGTGATTGACATCATGAGCATCGATCTACGCAATTGGGATCGATAACATGCATCAAACCAAGTCAGCGAGCCTGACCACCCGATCCTCTTAGTCGCCTCTTGAGACAAGCATAGTCGCCTTTTACGGCAAGCATGGGTTGCTGAAGACAAGGTAATAGTTGACGCCATTGTAACAGAATCTGTACAAGCCACCACCATGTTCGTGTCACCATTTAGTACGTGTATTGTTCTTTGTAGGGAGTTGACAGGGTAACAGTATTAAGATACTTACCATTCTCGGCATACCGACACAGGCAACATTAAAAGGCGCCTGGCATTTAGCTGACAGCTACATTTATTTGTTCCTGCCATGCCAAAGATAACTATGTAATTGATTACGACGAGATATCTACCGAGAGCGCCAGTCATATGACGTTTTCGCACGTTTTATCCGACGGCTCATGGTACAGAACGATCTTATTTTTCATTTTCAGGGGGACTGGGATTTTTTCGGTGTCTTCATTGTTCCAACACGAGCTATATAGAGCAGAGGTTGTGTTGTACAATCAGAAGACATTTGATGCTGTATTCACTGTATCTGAATAATGTAGTAATAGTAGTAGTAGTGGTAGTAGTAGTTGTAGTAGTAGTAGTAGTAGTAGTAGTAGTTGTGTTTGGTTTGGTTTGGTTTGGTTTGGTTTGTTTGTTGTTTAACGCCGCACTCAGCAATATTCCAGCTATATGACGGCGGTCTGTAAATAATCGAGTCTGGATCAGA